TAAGGAAAAAGTTGTTTCAAATCACCCACCGAACCACCCTTTTCAAGAACAACATTTCTTTCAACATTTTTGGGACACCCTGTATATTTTCATGTTTTATATTGAAATGTGCGTCTTAAATACGTCGTTTGTTTGACGATATAGAACATACCGAAGGAAAACCGGAAGATGAAGCAGAAAAAAAATCTGACGAAGTCGTTGATGTTGAATCGGCCAGGTGAAGTAACAACAATTTTTGTTTAAATTATTTCTCATATTTCTCATCTCCACTTCTTTCTAGCCTCGCCATTCCCTTATTCCTTTTTTTTTTGTCGAAGTTATGGTATGGCAAAGATAGAGCAATGAAAGATAGAAAAGAAGAGTTTTAATTAAAAGTTTATTCTAACTATTATTCGATAATTTTCGATTAATGACTGTATAGGTTAGACGAAGAGGCTGAAGATGCAGAATCGCCGGATGAACAAGAGGAAACGGTTGAAGAGGAAGAAGAGATCGACGAAGAGATATTAGCAATGCGGCGCGCGAAATGGCAACCTTACCTTTCCTACGTTGACAATTTAGTTTCCAAAGGCCTCATTCAAGCAGTCTCCACAAGGTTGACGAGTGTATTTTACGCACCAATGTTGACCCTTTGCACTCGAGGCCTTTGTTTCTGGTATCTACTAGCAACTCGAGACGCTTATTTAGTATTCTATTGTCACGAGTACTAAGCTTAATCAGGTCACCTTTACCTTGTCGACAACCATTTTATCGACACTTCAAGTTCCAAGAAATTAAACCTAAACAAATATTATTGTTGGCCGATTTGCTGCGTCAAACCTAGTGGTTACCGAGAGTCACCTCTCGAGTGCAAAGGGTTAATTGTAATTTTGTATAACACTAATAACTAATATTAACAAGGTGTAAAACTTCATTCATCATTTATCTATATGTACTTTCTCTATGTAAAATAAATTTTTCATCATTTTTACAGTATTTGTTACATATTGGATGAAACCGACCTCGATAGCACTCAATACCCATTGTTCGAAATACAACTGTGCTTAGGGGTAAATATATTAGCCACATATACAAATCCTACCTGTCTGTTTTGTTTTCTTAACTACCCTAACTCTGATACCTTTTCTGTTTCTTTTCTTTCTTTTTTTTTTTTGTAATGCTGAAAGAATCCTAGTGTCATTTTTCGACCATCAGTGGACATGGACGATCCAGATGGCTTCTATCTTTTCTTTGAAGAACTGTTACTTAGTATGATGAAGATGGGCACCCTTATCCCACGCGTTGATACAGAGCTTGCCGAAGAACATGAACATTACGCAGTATGTTACCTCAACTCTTAGTACGACATTTTTAACACACCATTTTTTAAACAGAAAGTCGGTTAAAGTGTTAAAAAAATCGAAACTTTCACGACCAGAGCTTTCGTACATATCTATTCATTAAATTTCCCTCGGACTTAAGGAAAGATATGTTCTTCAAATTTGTTTAAAATATTGACCATGTAATAAGAATAATATAATCTATGACTGTTCAAATTTTCAAAGTGCCCGACGGTTTCAGAGGGGAGATATTTATTTTCAAAGTTTTCATTTTCGACACGTAATCTCTATACGAAGACTTCACCGAAGTTATATTTTATTTCATAGCGGTGAAAATCTACTTAGAGTTTGCTTTAAAAGTTAATATTTTAAGCAAAACCAACGGGGACGTCTTGTAAAAGAAAATGGCGATACACGACGGTTTTGGAAACGAGATATTAATTTTCAAAGAATTTATCTTTAAAGTGGTACATTGCAGATTATTAATTCATCACATTGCATAAAGATATTTGGCTTGTGGAAAGTTAAGGAATTATTAATTTTAATATTTTTCATTCGAACAGTAAAAGAATTCTTACGTTTCTTTTCAAAAGGCCGATCTCGCAGACGAAGATGGCATCGTGTTTATGTTAGAAGAAATTTGCAACAGAGTGAAACTTGGTTTAATAGAAGCAAAGGAGCATGCCCAGGTGAGACAACACTATCCAGTTTAATTCTAAAAAGTAAAAAGGTTCAATCATATTAATTCAATATTGATACATTTAAAAAATTAGAATATTATTTGAATCGATTACATTTTTAAACATTACAATATCGATTTTTATTTGAATGGATAAAACGCTCATGTTTCAAAAAATAAGTTCATAGATATTCGTCGTGGATATTCGAAAATACATATATTTTTTAACAGAATAAGGAAAAATGTGCGTGGATTCGAATCTCATCCCAACAATATTTAAAAAATTATTGTAAATATCAATCAAGAAATATAGCCATCAGAAATCAAACAATTTTTTAAAACATTTGTGGCGAATAAAATGTTTATGCTTTCCATGTTTTTACGATAAATATCAGCTCAAATTTATGGCCCCACATTGTGTAAATATAATTACACCTATCACTTAAATACAACTTGTGCTTTTAAAAGGTCCTTGATTTTTGTAAACAAAGAAATGTGATGTTACTACATCCATCACATTGAAATTTAAAGACAGGAAACATTAAAATATCATTGATTATAAGAATTATTTCTTAGATATACGAAGCCTTTTCCTGGTTGTGGTCAGATAACAAGCAGGAATACTTGGACTTCTTCCTTCGATTTTCTAAATATGTAAGCCCCGAAGAAAGACAGATGATGAAGGAACATCCAGATTATATCCCAGAAAATATGGAACTGAAAGCACCAGACTTATCGGACTTCAAACGGGAAATTGATTATTTTATGGATCTATATGAGAAATGCAATCAAATACCGAACGAGCAAATCATTTGCCGTTGGCTGAGGATCGATGTGAAACCCTTTAAACAAACTCTTCTGAATATAATATGCAAGTGGGCTAACTTGTTGAAGGAACATTTGGTCCAGCGAATCACTACACAGTAATTTCATTATGCTCTCAAATACTCAAATACTACAGTATTGCCTCGAAATAAGCAACTCGGTCGTGACCGGCGCGTTGCTTATTTCGAGGGAGGTATGCTAATCGGCTTGACTTTGTTCTTGAGTTGCTTATTTCGAGACAATACTGTACTTTCAAATAAATTTCAGGAATAGACAGATTTTAAGTTTTATATTAATGGTTTTTAATAAGTCCTCGATAAAAGTCACTAAATTAATAACGTTACGTTAATGTCACGACCTCGTTCAGATCATCATTACTAACTTAAATTGAATCATTTTAGAGAAACTCTCGATCTACATATAATTAAATTTTATAATTGTAAAATTCACTTTTATCTTATTCAAAAATTTGCATTTGTCACAGACTGAAGGATTTAGCAGAGTTTATACAAGCAGCAATGGATAATTTTTCAAATACCATACACGAAGATGATTACGAAGCATTACTAGAGACTATTTATTACTTGAAAGAAATCAGAGATCGGCACTTTGAAATCGAAGACATGTTCGACCCCATAAAGGTAAAGTAACGATTAAGATGATACAGTAGTCACCACCGAGTCCCATAATTTAACATTTACTTGTCCAATGTTATGACGTTGAATGTAAATTAGCATCTACAGTGTCGGTATACAGAATTTTTCTTCGCCATCTAGTATCAAGACTCAGTTTAAAATTAGTTTTATATTAAGACAGAGATTTTCTTAGAAACAATTTGCTACATACGTAGCCTTTTAAACAACACTAGTTAATACAAAAAAAATATTACTTTTTCGATATTAAAAATTAGGTGATTCTTGTATTTATGTACTTAAATAAATATAGTAGTATAGTAGTAATATAGTAGCATTTGCAATTGATTTTCCAGAAAACAGTAGAACTTCTGCAACATTATCAAGTAACTCTATCTCCGAAAATTTTCGAATGGTTAACCGAATTACCCGATCGTTGGGAAACGTTGAAGAAAGTAGCTGCTCAAATAAAACAAGTCGTTCAACCTCTAATGACTCGTCAAATTGAACTTCTAAAAAAAAGACTAAGTTATTATGATTTTAAGCAGCAACGTTTCTTGGATGAATTTCATAAGGATGACGTCTTCGAGTAAATTCGCAATAATAATAATAATAATATTTCTCATAAAATAGTGAACAAATTTCTATCAGGACTTGAGATACTACCTTTTGCAATTACTTAGATGATTTTCGCGAATAGCTATCAAATAAAACGAAGATATAGCAAATTTTGCCTAAAATATTTTTATATAAACTCTAAATGAATTCTTTCTTCTATAATAACATGTTTTAAAGGTGTTTATCTCTTGTTAAAGATATTTCTTTTAATTATTTACAGTACCGATTGCACGAATCCTTACGAGAAATTGAACAAAATACACGAAGAAGTTTTGAAATTCTTAAAGGAGGAGGAAGATTTACAAGATCAGACTGTAATATTCGAACAGGAAATGCCTGAGTTTAGGGTCAACAAACTAATAAGAAAAGAGATACAACTTTTGAAGACTGTATGGGATTACGTGGGCGTGATCAACACCAGTCTGAACGAATGGAAGACTACCGTATGGAAGAAAATCGACGTTGAATGGATGGATCAAGAATGCAAGAAGCTTCTACGGGAATTGAGGCGTGAGAAATATTTCTTCACTTTCAGTTTATTCTTCTAACAATTATTTTTGTCTGATAACTTAATTTCCTGTTGCATACGAAGTGCAATAAAAATATTGGCCGGAAGTTACTATTATCTAAACATATACAGGGTGTCCCAAAACTCGGGAAGGAGCCGGAAATGGGGGGTAGCTGAGACGATTTTGAACAACAATTTCCTTTGCAAAAATGTCGGATGGGGCTTCGTTAAGGAGATATTAAGCGAAAACCCCGACCAATCAGAGCGCGCGTAGACCGTTCGAGCGGCCGCGGTAGCGTAGGCTATGCGCTGACGGCCGCGCTTGTACGCGAACAAGTGACTCGACGTGCATCGAAGGACATTGACGCTGCCGCCTAGCACGTAGCCTTCGCTACTGCGGCCGCTCGAACGGTCTACGCGCGCTCTGATTGGTCGGGGTTTTCTCTTAATATTTCCTTAACGAAGCCCCATCCGACATTTTTGCAAAGGAAATTGTTGTTCAGAATCGTCTCAGCTACCCCCCATTTCCGGCTCCTCCCCGAGTTTTGGGACACCCTGTACAGTATTAACAGTTCCACCGAGGAATACTTTATTCTTGTAGGAGTAAGGCACGGGGACTCCTTATTGTTGGGTATGGGAGGCGCGGACACTACATTCTTTTATTATTTTTTCTCGTCGATACTTCCAAATAGTTTTTGTGAAACTTTGATTTCCTTTTGCAAAATTGAATCTACATGCCATTTATTTTTGCAGAACTGGACAAGGATGCACGTTCTTGGACAGTGTACACGGACGTCGAAGCCCAAGTGAGGAACATGATGGCGTCGTTAAGGGCTGTATCAGAACTGCAAAACCCAGCGATAAGGGACAGGCATTGGCGAGAATTAATGGCTGAAACGCGGGTAATTAATTTAAGAACTAGCTCCATACTTTTTCTGTCCACGTAAAATTAACTTCCATGTAATTGCTATTAAATTAAATGACGGTATACAAAATTTTACTAAAAATATTTTTAGATCCTAGATGAATTCTTTCTTCAATAATAATATATTTTAAGAGTGTTTATCTTTGTGTCACAAAGTTCAGGGTTCAATTTATGTCAGTACTTGGTTGATTAGGCCATTTTTTAGGTCCTTGAATTTAATAGTAACTCGTATAACTTTATTAACTCTTTGACTGCGAAGGGCGTATACATACACCCTCGAAAAATGGGTTCAGAGAAATGTTTGTATTCGTTAAATCAATTTTTCAAAAATATCAGCTTATAGGGGATGATGAGAGGAAACTTTTCTATATTCACGGTTTATTCATAGGAGGCTTAATTTCGAAAATAAAAATTGAAAAGATAAAAGTTCATTGCAAAGATTGAATGTCAGGACAAAGGTCCTAAAGGTTGTAAGTTTTCAATTTTTATCTCAGAAACTAAACGTCGTATGAATAAACTGTAAATATAAAAAAGTTTCGTTTTGTCATTCTCTATAAGGTGATATTTTTTTTAAATTTCGATTGTTCGACTCTTGTTTTTTGTTCTTTAAGACAACAGCAACGGGATCAGGCCACTACGAGATCTCAGGAAAAAGGTTTTCTAAGTTCTTAATTTTTATTTTTCAAACTAAACGTCCTATGAATAAACTGTAAATATAAAAAAGTTTCGTTTTATTATTCCCTATACGTTGATAATTTTTTAAAATTCACACCTCTGCGCCTCTTAGAATTGCCAGCAAAAATCGTCCCGCGGTCAAAGGGTTAAAATTTGCACTTGACTATGGATTACGTTTCGTGGTAGGTGGCGTTTAGCATGACCGATAACACCACACTGGATGATTTGTTGAAATTACAACTACATAAATACGAAGAAGAAGTTAAGAATATCGTGGCCAAGTCAGTGAAAGAGATGGCAATGGAAAAAGTGCTGAAGGAGCTTCACGATACTTGGAGCAGTCTCGAATTTCAGAAGGAGCCTCACGAACGTACAAAACTAAGCGTTCTTAAAATCGACGAGGAAACTATCGAAATCCTCGAAGACAATCAAGTACGACAAGTTCTTCTGTTCTCCTTATCTGAAAATACAAAAAAAAAAAAAAAAAAAATGTTAAGAAACTATACAATTTTTACCATACAATGAACCTTAAAAAATTTAAGACGAATTCATTAATTCGCGACTGTTTTCAGAACAATGTAAATAAATATTAACTTTAATTTTCTTTTCATTGAAGACGCTATCAGCTTAAGTTAATTCAAGTTTGTCATTTAAAAGTTGTAATTATTTTATTCGTCTTTAATTATTTATTTGTTGTTTGATCGGTGACAGGTGCAACTGCAGAATATGTTGAGTTCGAAATACGTCGGATACTTCCTTCAGGATGTTCTTGATTGGCAAAAAAAATTAAGTACCGCAGACTCGGTGATCAACGCCTGGTTCGAAGTTCAACGAGCGTGGATACATCTTGAAAGTATTTTTATTGGCTCGGAAGACATCAGAAGTCAACTTCCGGAAGATTCGAAGCGATTTGAAAAAATTGACAGAGACTTTAAAGTACTCTTTCCCATTGTCATCTTAATTTAATCTCATTTCTTGGCGGAAAATGTCATTTTTTAGTTACTTTAACTCAAAAGTGACACAATTCTCTGACAGTACGCGTTGAAATAATTTGACAATATTATATACAAAATGTTTAAGGATAACATATTTTTTAAAGATTATTTTTTAAACATGTTTTTTAAGGAAATACCTTGAGAAGTATTTTTTTTGTATTGTGTTTTGTGTTGTTTTGTTTACTATCGTATATAAAAAGAAACTACTAAACTTATTAAATTTATATTTGTAAGGAATTGCTAAGAGAGGTATTGAGCAATTTAAACATCGTCAAGTCAACCAATCGTCCAAAGCTTCTAGAAAAGTTGGAGGAGCTGCAAGTTCAGTTGAATATTTGCGAGAAAGCTCTAGCAGATTACCTGGAAACAAAAAGATTAATTTATCCGAGATTTTACTTCGTATCTGCAGCTGATCTACTGGATATTTTAAGCAACGGTTAGGAAATATCAATAGTACCTCGTTTACCTCTCGACAGATTTAATAATTTGTTTAATCACGCCGAAAAATATGTTCTTGCGAAAACTCGTTGCTTCCCGTAAAACTCTCTTAACTCGTTCTGAAACAAAACAAAAGAAAATATTAATCCTCGTTCAAAACTATTCTCGTTTTTATAACTTTAACGAAGGCAAATTGTGACAATTTGATTAATTATTTCACAAGGTAATAATCCGGAGTTGGTTTGCAAACACTTGTCGAAATTGTATGATTCTATCGCGAACTTGGAATGGAAATCAAATGGCGATAAACGTACGAAAATTGCGATTACCATGATTGCGAAGGACGGTGAACACATGCCAATTCACGGATCTTGTGATTGCAGTGGGAAGGTAATTTCTTATAGCGAAATGAAAAAACACAGAGTATCCAAATTTTTACTATATATTCATTCAGCCTTTAACTTGAATTTTTTTAAGCAAAACCATAATGTGGATCGCGAGATTTATCGCTCGTATGTAAAAAAAGGGTAGGTGAACGGCGTCCATGATTCCGGCAGACTGGCTAATTTCAAATAAAAAAAACAAATTGCATGTTAATCTGTAGATGGATGGCTATCGCCGGAACTAGAATCTTTTAAAAATCTTGAAAATTCAATTTTTTATATGCTTTTCGCGACTACTTTTTTATTTAAAAAAAAAAAAAAAAAAAAAAAAAACGGTTCGATATTTTTCAAAAATCCTGGTTCGAGCGATAGCCATCCACCTACAGATTAACATGCAATTTGTTATTTTTATTTCAGATTAGCCAGTCTGCCGGAATCATGCACGGCGTTCACCTACCTTTTTTTTTACATGAGTGGATAAATCTCGTGATCCACATTATATTTTAATTGTAGAATATATTGAACATACATTACATATATTTCTTGTATAGTTTCTTTATTACCGTGCCTCGTAAATCCATAAATCCTCACTCTATAAATAAATGTAGCAATGATAGTACCTTAGGATTTCATTAAATAAGTAAACGTTTGATAAATCAGGTGGAAAACTGGTTGAACAATGTGACAGACGCAATGAAAAGAACAGTGAGGAATCTTATATCTCATGCAGTAGCCACATACGAAGAGAAACCAAGGGAACAATGGATCTTTGATCACGCAGCCCAACCAGCCCTCTGTGGAAGTCAAATTTGGTGGACAACGGAAGTGAACATGGCCTTCATGAGACTCGAGGAAGGATTCGAGAATGCGTTTAAAGATTATCAGCGGAAACAGATCCATCAGTTGACCGTTCTGATCGCTATACTGTGCGGGGATCTGAATGAAGGGGACAGGAGGAAGATCATGACAATCTGCACGATCGATGTGCATGCCAGAGATGTTGTTGCCAAAATGATAGCAATGAAAGCTGAAAATTCTTCCAGCTTTCAATGGCAATCACAACTGAGACACAGGTGAAGGCATTCTTATCTTATATTGGTCTTTTTTTTTATTCTAATATTATGAAAGATCTTTCAACAAGAATTTTCTGACTTTGTTTTTTTTAACCAGGTCCTCTTTTATTTTGTACCAGTTTCGTGGCAATTTTCATGATCTTTTCTGCGATCAAAGTAACTGACAGAAATCAGTTTATTTATACATGTATATATTTATAAGATTCTGTTGAAATTGGTATTTCAACAGGAATTGACAGAATAACAGAACTGGCAACAAAATAACTAAATAATAAATAATAGTAATAATAATATAGTTAAGTCTTTAACAGAATTTGATGCTTTTCTTTTGGTCAACAACATTAGAATATGAGTCGAAGCTTTCAGTGTTAACAAACATTTTGAATAAAATGATTTACAGATGGGACGACAAAGTTCACGATTGTTTCGCTGATATTTGCGATGCATACTTCAGATACAATCACGAATACTTAGGGAACGTACCACGATTGGTTATAACACCTTTAACAGACAGATGTTACATCACTTTAACGCAATCTTTGCATCTTGTAATGGGCGGGGCACCTGCTGGACCTGCGGGAACAGGCAAAACAGAAACTACAAAAGACTTAGGGAGAGCATTAGGCCAAATGGTTTACGTGTTCAATTGTTCAGAGCAGATGGACTACAAGGTAAAACAAATAAAAAATTAAAAAATATAAAAAAAAAAATAAATTATTTCAAATAGTTATTTCTGATTTTCATTTCAACGAAAATTTGCCGAGATCTGGTACAGTATACATGATCACAGCTCGTATAAAATACAAGGATAATTATATCATACGAAATCGATGAAGTTTGGAAGATAACCACGTGTTTATATATTTCTATTTAGTCTTGTGGAAATATTTACAAAGGCCTCGCTCAAGTGGGAGCATGGGGTTGTTTCGACGAGTTCAACCGAATTTCGGTGGAGGTACTTTCTGTGGTTGCTGTACAAGTGAAATCGGTTCTAGATGGAATCAAAAGTGGTAGACCAACATTTTCATTCTTCGGGGAAGAACTAAATCTCGTTGTAACAGTCGGAATGTTTATCACTATGAATCCTGGATACGCTGGAAGAACCGAGTTGCCGGAAAATTTGAAAACTTTGTTTCGGTAAAATTGAATATTTGCAAATGTTTATTTCGAGCAAGCGAGAAATAAGAGTATGTATTTTCAAAATGACTGGTGGTTGATTTTTACATACACATCCGTCGAGCTTATCTTATAGAAACGTCTTATAGAAAAAAACTTTTTCCAAATTGCTTTTGAAGACCCTGCGCGATGGTAGTCCCAGATTTTGACTTGATCTGTGAAATAATGCTGGTAGCCGAAGGTTTTCAAGAGGCCAGACTGTTGGCTAGGAAATTTATAACCCTTTACCAGCTCTGCCGTGAGCTTTTGTCGAAGCAAGATCACTATGACTGGGGTCTGAGAGCAATAAAATCGGTTTTGGTCGTCGCTGGAAAATTGAAGAGGGACGATCCTCAAAGGCCCGAGGATCAAGTATTAATGAGAGCCCTTAGAGACTTCAATGTCCCAAAAATAGTTACCGATGATGTACCTGTTTTTATGGGACTCATCGGTAAATATACTGTTATATTTTGTGTCGTTATTGCTTTGTTTCAGGGGTAACACCACTCTAGAGGCAGAGATGGGGGTATTCATATTTATAAATATGAATATGAATAAATTCACACCACGCGGATTTGTGAATATAAATCTGAATAAACTTATGAATAAAAATGTGAATAACGAGTTATTCACGAATAAAAATGTGAATAAATTTATTCATATTCATATATTTATTCATATATTCATATTCATATATTTATGAATATGAATACCCCAATCTCTGTCTAGAGGCTGAACAAATTTTGTTTAAACTTCAATATGTGTTAAATAAACCCTGTAAAAAGAAATCCTATTCATTTTCCGATACTCTCAAAATTAATGATCAAAGTTAGGCCTTCTTTTCAGCCTTTAGAGTAGTGTTATCACTTAAGCTCTCCTTTAAATTTTCCTTTATTATATTCTTTAACCGACTTCGAAAAGGAGGAGGTTACTCAATTCGACATGTATATATATATATTTTTTTTTTTTATAAATATCTTATTACTGCAATGTCCAGTTTATTTTCCATTTGATAATAAAATCGTTATTATAATATAGTAATAATTTCTTTGTTCCCTAAGGTGATTTGTTTCCTGCCTTGGAGGTGCCACGAAAAAGAGATTTAGAATTTGAATTAACAGTCAAGGAGTCCGCTGTTGATTTAAAACTACAACCAGAGGATGGTTTCATATTGAAAGTAAGCAGAGAATACTAAAGTATAGAATATTAACCCTTTGCACTCGAGGCCTTTTTTCCTGGTATCTGCCAGCAACTCGAGATGCTTTCTTAGCATTCTATTGGCATGAATTCTAAGCTATCTAGGTTTTCATTGATTAATAAACAATTATCAGAATTAAATTAAACATTAATCGAATCAATCAGATTGTTCAACTAGAAGAATTGCTCCACGTTCGCCATTCGGTTTTCATTGTTGGGATCGCTGGAACAGGAAAGACCGAAGTTTGGAAAACACTCAATCGAACTTACTTTAACCAGAAATTAAAACCGTATTATAATGACCTGAATCCAAAAGCTGTAACCAACGACGAACTTTTTGGAATCATTAATCCAGCCACTCGCGAATGGACAGACGGGTTTGTGACTTTTTTTATTATACAGGGTGTTAACAAATATGTGGGACAAATATAAGCGATTGAAATTTACAGCTGTAAATTTACAGTCAGTAAAATTACAGTAAATTTACAGTAAATTTACAGCTGTAAATTTCAATCGCTTATATCTTAACAACGAAGCCTCAGATCGCAAAATGGTAACAGACTTTTCGATTTGTACTGGTATGAAGACTTGATCCAGAAAAAATGTCCCACATATTTGTTAACACCCTGTATAGTTGCGCTGAAATTGTTTTTATTTGGAAAAGTATACATTTCGGTTTCGAAGGTTTTAGAATAAATGTTCCATTTGGCTTTATACCACTGGCATGACTTTAACCATATTACCCTCGTCTTTTGAAAGAAATTGCTAATTTCATTACGCTTCTAGTAATTGTTAAATATATTAACCAAGGAATTATGTTAACAAACTACCTTATTCGATCAGATTATTCTCGATGATTATGAGAGATCAAGCAAACATGGCAGGAAACGACCCAAAATGGATCATATTCGATGGTGACATAGATCCAATGTGGATCGAATCGTTAAACACCGTCATGGATGATAACAAAGTATTGACACTGGCCAGTAACGAAAGAATCGCTTTGACGGATCAAATGAGACTCTTATTCGAGATTTCCAATCTTCGGTACAAATACTTTACTATTTTATCCTTCAAAGGAGTATTCTAGTCTAGAACTTTCAAAATATCCTATCGTTTTGCATTTTCTCAAAGTGTACACTTTAAAAAATATATTTGTCAAAGGATTTTGTCGAACTCAGGAAATTAACTAACAACGAGAGAACTACGTTATTGAATTAGTATTTGTTATTTCTTCACTGTCATTGAAAGCTAGTATCTTCTTTCATTAAACTTTATGGAGATACTGTTGCATAAGTAGTGAAAACAACGAAAGCTATAGTACTGAACTATTATTAAAGATATTTATGGATTTCAGAACGGCTACACCAGCTACTGTTTCCAGAGCTGGGATCCTTTATATAAACCCACAAGATATCGGATGGTACCCGTAAGTAAATGTTTGTTTTATCATTATTCCAAAAAATTTAAACCAAAAAAAATAAGTAAAAGTAATTATTGAATTATTATTCAAAATTCTATACCGGATTTAGTTTTCAGTAAAACATTTAGTGTTGAATAATAAAAGAGTTGGTATATATTTTAGTCGAAGAAAAAGTGAATTGTATTTCTTATTTCATTACAAATTATACAAATTATTACACGATTAATTTAGGTTCGCAATCAGCTGGATAGAGACAAGGAACCCATCCGAAAGGGCAAATCTGACTATACTATTCGATAAATATGTTCCACCCCTTATAGAAGTGATGAAACATAGATTTAAGAAAATCACCCCACTGCCAGAAATTTGTCACGTAGAAATGCTTTGCAATTTATTGGATTGTTTCTTGACCAAGGAAAACGTTCCACCAGACTGCCCAAAGGAATGGTATAAATAAAACCACGTTATAACGACTCAACCCTTTACATTCATAAGAAAAGAGACGGACACCTAAACAGCTTTCTCATTGCAAAATCTCCAAACTGGAATAGCGCCATATTAAACAATGTAACTTTGAATCACAAATTAGTAAAGATAAATTAACTTGACCATAAGAATAAGGTTCAAAAAAATCTGATTAAAAGATTACTATTATTAATACTTGCAACATTTTCTAAGGAAAGAACCTGAACTTAGAAATCTATCTGACCAATGACTATATACGAGTATAACATATTTTGATTCATTTTCTCGTTCTATTTAAGGGATAATACATTTTTGAAAAATGTATGTTCTACATAAGTAATCACTGACAAAGTTTATTAGATTTACAATGGAAGAAGGTTCTCTTGGGTGAAACATCAGAGTGCAAAGGGTTAAATGTAATGCACTAAAAATTACAAACTTTGAAGAAAATTCGATCGTTCGATTAATTCATTAATTGATCTCATTTGATAATAGGCATGAATTATATTTTGGGGTTGCTTGTATTTGGGCATTTGGATCGGCAACTTTTCAAGATCAGTTAATCGATTGGCGAAACGAGTTCAACAAATGGTGGCAGAATGAATTTAAAACGATCAAATTTCCCACTGGCGGCAACGTGTTTAATTATTACATCGAAGATGAAACAAAAAAGTTGGTTCCCTGGACCGAGAATGTGAAGCAATTCGAATTAGATCCGGATATACCACTGCAGGTTCGTTGAAATAATTTTTCACTTGAAATTAATTATTTTAGATTAAGTACGTTTTTCTAAGGTTTAAAACTATTTTATTAAATTAATATTATAACGAGTTTAGTCGTAGGTTTTAAAAAATAGTCTTAGAGAACTTAGAGCTACACTTACAATACGTTTCCCAAAAATCTAATTTCGAAGGTTATTATTATTCGTTATGGCATTAATATTAAAATTACAATGTTTAAAAATAGCTACCCTCTTCACTTTCTTTTGTCGTGGGTGTATAATATTAATGTTAAATTTAATTTATGTTTCATCCCTACTTTTCAGGTCGTCATATACTGCAAATTAATATTTTTTAGACGCATCTCATCTTTCATATCTTATGAATTTTTTTCATTAAACCTTCCAACATGTACAAACATTTTTATTTTGCAGTCTACCCTGGTGTCGACCGGCGAAACAACATGTTTGCACTTTTTCCTGGATATTCTCATCAAGAAAAAAGTGCCAGTGATGCTGATAGGTGCAGCAGGTTCAGGGAAAAGTGTAATCGTGGCTGAGAAATTGGGATCCCTATCTGACGATTACAACGTCGCGAACATACCCCTTAATTATTACACTTCTTCAGGTATTTGACACTTTATTTTCTTAAATTCTAACTCAAGTATATTATTTATTAAAAAAAATAAAAATATTCAAGATTATTTGATCCTTTGTCGAATCATCAAAGTCGTGTCTAAATAAACATTAAATAAACATATTTATCTTTAATTCTTTCAAAGTTGATAACATATGTATATTTAATTGGAGAATACTCATGATTTATTTTTACATTACAATTCTTTTGTAGATAAGAATCAGATTGAAAGAATTCTTCTTAAACAATTGTATTACTTTATTAAATAGTTGAAATATTTATGCATTTCGAAATTAGTATGAGTGAGAAATATCTCTTTAGTTTAACATTTCTTTTTAGAATTGTAACTGGAAGAAATAAGAAAATGATTTTAATTGTTTCAGAAATGTTGCAAAGAAATATGGAGAAACATTTGGAGAAAAAAACTGGCCGAAATTACGGTCCACCGGGTATGAAGAAATTAATATATTTCATTGACGATATGAATATGCCGGAAGTCGACACTTATGGCACTGTGCAACCTCATACGCTTTTCAGGCAACACATTGATTACAATCACTGGTACGAAAATGGAATTGGCTTTGATAATTCAACGAAATATTTTTCTAATAAATATTATAATTCGTTTAACATCAAAGAAAAAAAAAATACAATGGAATTATCATAATTGTGACGTAATATATGTACATTCTTTGATTGCTGAAATTCCTACAAAGAGTAATTCTTGATTGTTTGGAATAATTTAGGTATGACAGAACGAAACTGACCTTGAAAGAAATTCATAATACACAATACGTATCTTGTATGAATCCCACTGCGGGAAGTTTCACGATAGATCCCCGTTTGCAGAGGCATTTTGCTGTTTTCGCAGTTAAGTAAGTGTTGTACGGTAACAACATGAATATTATTATTATTGTAATATAATAATGGCGATAATAGTTTGTAATTTTATAAAATTAGATTTGCGTTTCAATACTCTGCGGTATGTATTATAATATTTATTTATTTCTACTGCATTTTATTTTGTTAAATTTGTATATAATTATTAATATTAAATTGTTTGTACCTAAATATTTTTTAAATAATTGGCCTATCTTGTCTCATGCCTCGAACATATAATATTGTATTACAGTTTTCCATCTGGCGATAATTTAATTAGGATCTATAGCCAAATACTGGATCAGCATTTGACGAATCCGTTCAATAAATTCAACTTGGCAGTAATAAAAATTGCTGAGTCCTTATTGGCTGCAGCATTATATTGTCACGGAAAAATCTCAACTACTTTCTTGCCAACTGCGGTTAAATTTCATTATGTGTTCAATCTGCGCGACCTATCGAATATTTTCCAAGTAAGACTCATTTGTAAAAACTGGCAAAAGCGACCCCATTTAGGAGTCGTAATTTAAGAAGCACTGCCTCAGAAAAATTATGTTGTATTTTTTCTTTTTTATATAATTACCAAGACTTGCTGTTCTCTTTTTTCAAGGGTATACTTTTCGCCAACGGCGAGGCTGTGCCAACGACCAATCATTTAATACGATTATATGTCCACGAAGCGTTGAGAGTTTATTCCGATAAATTGGTCAGTGTTGATGATAAAAAAACGTTTGACCAATTGTTAAAGGAATCGCTCCGTAAAAATATTCCTGTAAGTCATGCGTCATTTAAGTATTGAAATAGTACACAATCGATATACAAATAATTAACAATAAAAATTAGCAAGTTTGATATAAATACTGTTACTTATAATTGAGCTAAAATTGGCAAATTTACAAAATGTTGAAGCTAATTTCTGAAAAGTACAATATAAGAATGTTGCTAAATTGAGTTAATTATTTTAGTATTTCACAGCTCAACAATTACGTTTTTAATTGTAGGAGACAGATGAAAACATTATATTTGCCGAGCCAACGATATACTGTCATTTCGCGGAGGGAATTGGTGAACCGAAATATATGCCAATTAGAGATTGGCAACAGCTGACAAAATTACTGGACGAGGCTTTAGTGAACTACAATGAATTGGTAATAAAGTTGTCGAGTACACGTGCTCGATCATTTTCAGGATCTATAAAATGTTTAAACATTAACATGATTAAACAGATCTATTAGCAGCTTATAAAACAATGAAAACTTAGTTGTAGATCAATTTTTTAAAATATTTTTAAAAATTCTTTTCCTTGACCTTTAGAATTTAAAATCAGAAATTTTATATTTTTAACTATAGCCTTATTATTCTGTAATTATCGTATCCTACTCCTTTACCAAATATAACAAACAACTAAAGTTTGTAAAAACATTGTCGCACTTCTATTTATTTATATCGAAATTTTGTACTCTAAAACAGGTATCAGCTATGAATTTAGTTTTCTTCGACGACGCAATGTATCAAGTGTGCCAAATAAATCGTATTTTGGAGTCACCAAGAGGAAACGCACTTCTGGTGGGAGTTGGAGGAACCGGAAAGCAATCACTTTCATCCCTTGCATCCTTCATATCAGGCTTAGAGGTGCTCTTGAAATTACTATTTCCAAATCATAATTACCAACGCTATTACAATTACACGTATATTGGTAAAGTTCAAACAGAGTTCATTTAAAATTCGAAATAATTGGAATCTGTTAATGTAACAATTGAGTTAAAGTTAAAAGTTGTTAAAAGTTGTTTCAAATCACCCTCCGAACCACCCCTTTCAAGGAATTCAATATTTTTATTGTTAGCTGCTTTCTGAAACAAATTTTGTGGAATATACCAGAAATGTATATATTCTTAAAAGATTCATAACTTTGTTTGTTTTTTAAAACGCGTTGTATCTTACAAATAAAGTAAGCTATAAAATTAAAAAATGTTTAAATTTGTGATCGTTATTCTATGTGTCGATGCAGATTTTCCAACTGCAATTGAAGACAGGATATTCGATAACTGACTTGCGAACCGATCTAGCAGGTTTATATTCCAAGGCAGGACTCAAAGGAATCGGAATTACTTTCTTAATGACAGATTCCCACGTCGCCGACGAGAGATTTTTGGTTCTTATAAACGATATGCTTGCTTTCGGTGAAATATCAGAATTATTCGCCGACGAGGAGGTCGATAATATAGTAAATTCTGTAAGAAACGAGGTAATTTTCAATCAGCTGAAATTATAATTGGTATATTGGCATATATTGACACGGTGATTTTAGGTGAAACAAACTGGAATGATCGACAGCAACGAAAACTGCTGGAAATTTTTCATCGATCGCGTTCGAAATCGATTGAAATGCGTCCTCTGCTTTTCCCCCGTTGGAGCAACGTTGCGAACCAGAGCCAGGCAGTTCCCAGCAATCGTAAACAACACTTCCATCAATTGGTTTCAGAGTTGGCCACAAGAAGCTTTAAAATCGGTTTCTACTAGATTCTTGCAGGTAAGAAAATTTCCGGCTTCTACGCGAGTTTTGGGACACCCTGTAGATCGAGAAGTCCTTTAACACATAGCCGACCAATCGAGGAGATCTCTCCACTTTAAAAAAAATCGGTATACGACCGATCGAGGAGATCTCCCGTTTTGACCTTATCAATGCGTTACCTTATCAACGCGTTTTTCTTTTTTCGTCTTTATTTTTTAGTCATCTTTAATGTTTCCAATTCTTTATTACCTATACTTCTTGAATCTACAAAAAATAATTATTACATACTTTTAATTTTATGGTTTGCATAAACAATGCGCGAAATCACTTAAATAATTTTCAGACTTCTTTGATTTCAAATAGTGAATATCGGCCCGCGTCACTTGCGAACTAAAACAGAAAATTAAAACAACGTTTTACCGACAAAAATACTAACAGCAAATCAATTGCAGGAATTAGAGGATTTGCCGCAAGAATATAAGCAGTCGGCTTCTCTGTTCATGTCGTTTGTGCATACTAGCGTCAACAATATTTCCGCACTTTATCTGCAGAATGAGAAAAGATATAATTACACGACTCCAAAGACATTCTTGGAGCAAATAGCTTTGTACTCGAAGTTACTCGTGGAGAGAACCTATGATATAAATGCGATGATACAAAGATTGAAGAATGGTTTAGAGAAGTTGGAATCTTGCGCTGGTCAAGTAAGAATTCCATTATTACTGTTTATGTATTAAGAATGCAGTAAATTCCAATCAATTCTTTAAGAACTCAGAGTAGTTTAGAACTGTGAAATAAATGGGTACGGATTAATCATCAACAATACTATATTCAACACTATACATATATGTATATACATGTATATTTACATATATATTTATATATATATATATATTTATTTTTATATATATTTATATTTATATTTGTATTTATATATACATTTATATATATTTCTATATATGTATATATATACATTTATATATATTTCTATATATGTATATATATATATATATATATATATATATATATATATACATTTAGTGAATTTACACATCACCCTAATTGGGTTTGGTAGGTAAGCGAATTGAGAGTTGTTCTGGCAGCTCAAGAAGTTGAATTAAAAAAGAAGAACGAAGTTGCAGACAAAATCCTGGCAGAAGTTCGTGCTGAAAACACTAAAGCAGAAGCTGAGAAAGCCATTGGCATGTTATAAGAACTAATTGAAATATTAATTACCTAAAATTTTTTTTTTATTTTGAAATAATCTTTGAAATCATCCAAGGACTAACTGTATTTATTAATATATTGATTAACGAATCAAATGCATCGTTGACGTATACAAAATTGCGTAAGAATAAGTATATGACAAGTATGTTAATTGCAGTCTCTGAAGAGGAAGGAAAAATAGCAGAAATAAAGGAAACAATAGCTGAAAGACAAAAACGTTGCGACGAGGACTTGGCGAAAGCAGAACCTGCTGTTAGGCAAGCTGAAGCTGCACTTGATACTTTGAATAAGGTTAGATATCATTTAGAATTGTGAAAAAAAAAAACAAATATATACAAATATCTGAAGATATAGTTTATTTTATTACTTGTAAATAATGTATCACTTGAATCCAATAGATTTACTCGCACTTGAACACGACCTCGTTCAATTCTTTTTAATTATATCTAAATGAAGGTATTAATATAAAATCTGTATAAATACTTCGATCATATTGTCACTGCTTCGGATTCGTAATAGTATGTATGAAAACGATCAGTCTCGTGATAGATTTTTGCAAGGAGAACGTACGCGATTAAAATTGTTGCATAATAATTTTGCTGATAGCGTGTCATTAAACCATAAAACTTTTGAAATTTACAGAGCAATCTGACCGAATTGAAGTCGTTTGGAACGCCACCGGAGCAAGTGGCGACGGTAGCGCAAGCAGTTTTGGTTCTGTTTGCACCTAAAGGACAAATACCGAAGGACAGAAGTTGGAAAGCGTGCAAGGCAATGATGGGAAGTGCAGACGGATTCCTATCGCAACTACGGAATTACGACAAAGAGAACATTCACCCTGAAGTAGTTAGAGCTATTCAACCCTACATTAACGACAAAGGTTCGCAGAAGTCGCTTAACACTTTCGCTGCGGATGACGCACATGTGCGTCCAATTGAAAATATATGGTTGTTTTTATTATTTTTCAATTTTCACTTTTTTTTATGTTACTGTTACGTTACTGTTATGTTATGAATTACCCCCCAACGAGGGAACTTTGTAAAACTGTTTTAGAGTTTGACCCAGAGATTATTTATTCAAAGTCTCAAGCAGCTGCAGGCTTATGCAGCTGGGTAAAAAATATAATGGTCTTCCATTATATTAATGAAACCGTGAAGCCACTGAGAGCCGCCCTTGCGCAAGCAAATGCTGAGTTGAAAGCTGCTATGGATCACTTGAATGCCTTAAGAGCGAGACTAGCGGTAGGTATCTATTAATTTCAGCATTTACATCGCATTGAACAGTGAATCCTATGTACACTTACGATCAGAAGAAATTCTTTGTACCCTGTTTCTCTCTCTTTAACCTTGTTTGGGAGAGAAAAAGAAATTTTTTTTTTTAAACATCCTAATGTACTCAAAGGCATTGTCATTGATCTGAATTGATTGATAGGAATTGCAAAAAGTGCTCGACGTTCTGGGAGACAAAATGAACGCTGCCCTTGCGGAGAAACAGAAATGCCAAGACGAAGCCGATGCTACTGCCTTAACAATTGACCTTGCAAATAGATTAGTGAATGGTTTAGCATCTGAAAAGATTCGGTGGACTGAAACCGTGCAAACGTTAGTATCACTGATATCTCCATTAACATTTTCATTTATCTGTTTTACAAAGGAATGTCTTGGGTGATCCTCAGATCATGTTTCCAATTCTCATTGAGAATATATAAATTTTATAGAATGTTATTTCAAGATCAATCAAATAACATAAATGTTTGGTAAATGGGACAGTATATAATTTAGTGGGATTAGTAAATAATCTAGAAATTTCAGTTACCAGATTAAATTGAAATTCTCCGATATTTTGAAATCAGACAATTAATTTTGTTATACGTTTAACATATTTAGGTTGAAAGACTCGGGAGTAACAGTGCCAGGTGACATTCTTCTCGTAACTGCATTTCTTTCGTACATGGGTTGCTTCACACGAAAGTATAGAACTGATTTAATGAATGAAAATTGGTTGCCGTTTTTGGAGAACTTGGAAATAAAAATACCACGAACCGCCGATTTAGACGTTTTAGGTTTATTATCCGACGACGCGCAAATTGCTCAATGGAATAACGAAGGTGTAAACATTATACTATTTTCTGATTTCGTTTCGTTGTTATAAAACGAATGATACATTAAACGAAACGCTGGTAATGAGCGCGTTATAAACGTCGATAGATTGGATTGTCTAATTAATAAAATAACGCAGCGAATTCTCTTAAAGAAATTACTGTATAGTTATTTGAACAAATTTGTACAAATTAATGGAACAGAAAATTTGAAAATTTAATTTGTTCGAAGGTTTACCAACCGATAGAATGTCCTCCGAAAATGCAACAATTTTAATGAATTCTACGAGATGGCCTCTAATAATAGATCCACAGATGCAAGGAATAAAGTGGATAAAAAATAGATACGGAGAAGAATTGCAAGTACTTAGACTTACACAGTCCAATTATTTGAGCCTCGTCGAAATTTCTATTGCAAATGGAGGAATTGTTTTGATTGAAAATATTATGGAAACGATCGATCCTGTCTTAGATCCTGTTATTAAGAGGGATCTAATAAAGAAGGGAAGGTACCTGTCCATTTATAATTATACACATTTTGTATCATACACAATGGAACAAATAGAGATAGTATATCTATTACAATAAGTTATTATTTCATCTAGAGGAATATTAATTGATCAACACAAATTACGTATTATACAAATTGCTTGCAATACGAACAGATCATAAAATACTGAAATTTTTACTCAAGGGCTATCAAAATTTGGGATAAGGAGATAGATTACGATCACCGTTTTCGACTGATCCTGCAGACGAAGTTAGCCAATCCTCATTACAAGCCTGAAATACAAGCGCAGACGACTCTCATCAATTTCACTGTAACAAAGGATGGTTTAGAAGAACAGCTACTGGGAGATGTCGTTAAAGCCGAAAGGCCTGATTTAGAAGCTAAGAAAGCTGAGCTGACTACTCAACAAAATACTTTTAAAATTACTCTCAAAATATTGGAGGACGACCTCCTACACAGGTACGAAAAATTCGAATACACCCAGAAGATACCCTGTTTGTAACAGGTTGTCCCAAAAGTTTCTTTCGTGACTTGCATTCAGTTATTTTATGTGGCAATGTTTATGTAAATATACAACCAACTTCCTTAGACGTTTGTACGCTTTTCGTTTCACTTGTACCTCAATAGTTTAAAAGTTATAAGTAAACTGCGGATCTTTATGCATTTATAGGAAATTTGAACGTGCAAGAAATTACAAAATGCAAACAATATGCAAGAATATAAAAAAAGATTGAAAGTAAAGTTCATGTTATAGTATTAGGTTGTCCCAAAAGTTTCTTTCGTGAGTTGCATTCAATTATTTTCTGCGGCAGTGTTTATGTAAATAGACAATCTAATTTCCTAGACATTGATGCTGTAACAGTAATGGAGCGAAATGAATTGTACACAATTTAGTAATGTAACATAAGACATAAAATATTGTGTATGTATTAATTATTAATAAAACGAAAGGAACTTTTGGGACAACCTGATATTTGCAGAATAAAATAAATTCCTATTTAGGTTCAATTTTTGTAGGCACGTTCGCCAAGATTTTATTTTGCATAAAGATCCGGAGTCTAGTTATAAGCAATTGTTGATACGCTCAAGAGTTTGTATACGGGTACAAACAATTCTGAATCAAATGGAGAAAACAGATTTCAAAAATCTTAAAAATTGACGAAGTCCTCTCTTGTGGGTATCAACAATTGCTTATAAATTTTACACTATTGAGGTACAAACGAAAGGGAAAGCGGTACAAACGGATACAAACGATTCTGAATCACATAAAAAAAAGGGATTTCAAAAATTTGAATGTCGGGTGGTGGTCATTTTTCCAATTTTTTTTTTTTGTATTAGTTGATGAAGATACAAACGTAAGCTATTGTTGGTACAATCAAGTACAAACTAAATACTAACAAGGCATTAAAAAACAAATCCTAAAGATCCTTTCGAAAAATCGTTCGTTGCTTTTTTTAAAGATTATCAACAGCAGGACCAAATATTCTAAGTGACGTCGATCTGGTGATAAATCTGGAGACCACAAAGAAAACTGCTGCAGATATAGAAATAAAGGTGGCAGAAGCCAAAGTGACGGCTGTAAAGATAGACGAAGCCCGAGAAATTTATCGCCAAGTCGCGACCAGAGCCAGCCTTTTATATTTTGTTCTGAACGATCTTAGCAAAATAAACATGCTCTACCAATTCTCTTTGAAGGCTTTCAGTGTCGTTTTCCAGAATGCTATTAAGTTCGCAGAACCCGAGGAAAATTTACCGAAACGCGTTAAATTCTTGATCGACAGCATCACTTATTTAGTTTTCATTTACACTAGCAGAGGACTGTTCGAAAGTGACAAATTGACGTTCCTTTGTCAAATGACCATTCAGGTATACTTTCTTAATAAACGTTGTACCCAACTGAACTCTCTTTGATGGTATATTCGATTATTAATTATTTAATCAAATTCATTGTACACCTATTCAGCGTTCTAGTTTGTTTCAGATTTTTATGCAAGCGAACGAAATAACGCAATCGGAGCTCGATTTTCTTCTTCGATTTCCATACATTCCTGATCTAGTCAGCCCTGTGGACTTTCTCACGAACGTTGGTTGGGGTGGGATTAAATATTTGAGTCAAATTCCCGATTTTCATAATTTGGAAAAGGATATAGAGGGTGCTGCGAAAAGATGGAAAAAATTCGTAGAATCAGAAACACCGGAGCGAGAAACGTTCCCTCAGGATTGGAAGAATAAAACTGCATTGCAACGATTGTGCATTATGAGATGCCTCAGGCTGGATCGAATGACATACGCCTTCAGGTTACTTGTTTATTTAGACACGGTCACCCGCTGTTCAACTTTACCTATGCGTCTGTTTTAATTTAAAACGCAATAATCTGTCGGTTCGCATAGATCGTTCGTAGAAGAAAAACTTGGCGCAAAATTTGTCGAATCCAGATCTCCTCCTTTTCATAAATCCTTCGAAGAAACCAGTTCGATTACACCTATATTCTTTATCCTGTCACCGGGTGTTGATCCTTTGAAGGTATTTGATACTTAACCCTTAACAGTAAACATGGGATCTTTCGGGCTTTTCCAAAATTTTGTTTGTTTATGAACATAGTACATGTAACGGGTTCATAATTACTGAGGATTTAGTACAGTCACACGATTTACACTATACAATATACACTATACACTATACACTATACACTATACAATATACATTATACACTATACAATATACACTATGCAATATACAATATTGTATATTTCCATTTAATGTTTGAACTCAAAGGTCATTTCAAGGTCATGTAATGTACATATCTGAACGTATTTTTACATCAGCTACATTAACATCGATAACCTTGTAAACTCCGAACACAATTACCCTAGAAAAAAGAAATTTTTTGCAATAAAATGGTTTTTTCAAACCATTCAAATAACATAGAAAATATTCTTTGTACCCCCACAATTAGAGGAGACATTTAAGTGGCCTTACTTAGGTGGACCACCCTGCATACACTATACAATATACACTATATACTTTACATTTTGCACTATACACTATACACTATATACTTTACTCTTTACACTATACACTATACACTATACACTATACACTTTATACTTTACACTATACACTTTACACTTTACAAGTTCGCAGCCATTAGCTCGCTGTGCTACCCCGAAATATGCCGCGAAGGAGGTCGCGTTACTAATGACACTCTGATTTACTTTATATTTATACTTTATCGGTTAGATAACACTTTACACTGTTTACTACTCGATGGCTTCCCTTCGACTGCCCGCCTCTTCTAGTCGGCAGGGTCCTTCTCCCACTCTCCGGCCTCCCTTCCGATCAGCCTCGCTCTTCGCCGCTATTACTCGTGACGAACAATCCTTCGTCGCGAATAATACCGATTACCAGGTCTCACCACGTGGAGGTTGCTGCGACTGGAGACCCGGAGATAGAAGGAATCAAACTTCCTTCGATCTCCCTCTACATAGAGTATACATACATAGATACATACTCTACATAGAGTCGACGAACTTAATACTAAGTACGAAACGATGAAAATCGAAGGAAAACAAAATTCCCTTCGATTTCCAAAGTCTATGTCTGACTCTGCCAAATAATACGAACAAGCAAAAGAATTGGACAAATGATTAATAATTATTTGACAGTTCGACAATATGACTTTGCTGTAATATTAACGTTTCGTCAATTGTATTATCCTCTGGAACAATACGGATTTTACTTTATAATATTAGTATACATAAATTCGTACTTACATAAGTCAAAGTGGGCGATAATGTGACTTTGCCACAAACGATAATTGCGTAATGGAAATCGAAATTGCAAGTCCAAAGTAAATGTAAGAAGTTTTGTGGCGAAATATAAACAGTTAACTTATGGCCCTTACACCAATTACTAAAGAAAAAATCGGTCCACGATCACCAAACATTAGCCTGTATATGCACCATAAATTAATTACACGAATAACAATAAAAAAAGAAAAATAAACAATAAAATCGTAGTCAACGTAAACACTAGACACTAATAGAAATAACGATATCAAAGGATGTAGAGAAGCTCGGAAGTCAACTGGATTTCACTACTGAAGGAAGAAATTTCCATAACGTGTCCCTGGGCCAAGGACAAGAAACCGTAGCTGAGGAAGCAATGACTATTTCGGCGAACGAAGGCCACTGGGTGATTCTGCAAAATGTTCATTTAGTTAGGAAATGGTTGCCCACTTTGGAAAAGAGAATGGAACAGCTTTCGGAAAATCCGCACAATGATTATCGGTTGTTCATCAGTGCCGAACCCAGCGCAGATCCTCACGAGTCGATAATACCTCAGGTGACTAGTAAAACTATTTAATTTTATTATTAACCAATGCTGTTTTAGTTAGACGAAACGTGTGATCCAGTTTCTAGCAGTTAATTAAATTTTACTGGCACAAATATAAAACTTCCACTTAGAAAGAATTTACTCGTCAGCTTTTTTTTAGAAAAGAAAAATAGATAGTTATCGTTTGTAGAAGCTTATATTTAAACACTTATTATAAATTCTCTGCAGGGTATATTGGAATCAGCCATAAAAATTACAAACGAACCACCATCTGGAATACAAGCAAACATTCACAAAGCATTGGATAATTTCAGTCAGGAAACTCTGGATTCCTGTAGCAAAGAAACTGAATTTAAGGCGATATTATTTGCGCTTTGTTATTATCACGCAGTGCTTGCCGAACGCCAAAAATTCGGAGCGCAGGGCTGGAACAGAGTAAGCGTCGTTATTATAATTCTACTGGAACGACTTTGGCAAAATTGTTCTTTCATTCGTGAATAAATAAATATTTGTTGGATTATAATCGAACGTTATGAGGATTTTAAGTTACTGTAATGAAATAATTCTACTTTCTTAATGACAGTCTTATCCGTTCAACTTTGGAGACTTAACGATCAGCGTGTCCGTATTGTACAATTATTTGGAAAACAGTGTCAAAGTGCCTTGGGAAGATCTTCGCTATTTATTTGGAGAGATAATGTATGGGGGCCACATAACGGACGATTGGGACAGAAGACTATGTAAAACGTATTTAATGGAATACTTAAAGCAAGAACTGGTGGAAGGTAAGAAGTTCCGGATTTACTTTGCTGCTATATATCTACCATGAAGACTGTATAAAGGAAATCCAACTCCATACGAAAGTTACTAGAAAACAGTTAGCAAAATCCCGAGCTTTAAGTTATGAATATTTCTACCACTCGCGGCGCGAGTGAGCACAGACTACGAATTATGTCATATGTGTATGTATTATCATATATACATACACATATGACATATATATATATACAGGGTGTTTCAAAAGTCGGGGAGGAGCCGGAAATGGGGGGTAGCTGAGACGATTCTGAACAACAATTTTCTTTGCAAAAATGTCGGATGGGGCTTCGTTAAGGAAATATTAAGAGAAAACCCCGACCAATCAGAGCGCACGTAGACCGTTCGAGCGGCCGCGGTAGCGAAGGCTACGCGCTGGCGGCCGCGCTTGTACGCGAACAAGTGACTCGACGTGCATCGAAGGACATTGACGCTGCCGCCTAGCGCGTAGCCTTCGCTACCGCGGCCGCTCGAACGGTCTACGCGCGCTCTGATTGGTCGGGGTTTTCTCTTAATATTTCCTTAACGAAGCCCCATCCGACATTTTGGCAAAGGAAATTGTTGTTCAGAATCGTCTCAGCTACCCCCCATTTCCGGCTCTTCCCCGACTTTTAGGACACCCTGTATATATCGTAGTCTGTGCTCACTTGCGCCGCAAGTGGTAGAAATATCGGGATTTTGCTAACAGTTTTCTAGTAACTTTCGTATGGAGTTTGATCTCCTTATACAGTCTTCATGATATCTACCAACTGTTATTGCCCATTGACTGTAGCGCTTGCGCACAACTGCTTACTCGTAACTTTGGCATGGGAAATGCTTCGAGTATATACAGTGTATGAAGTATATACAATGCTTTGAGTATGTAGACTTCTATATACTCAAAGGGGAAATGTTGATTATGGACTATTGACTATAATGTGGATTATGGACTACACTATAGCTTGAGCGGTTCATGTACTGTATGGTCGAAGCGTTAATACTAAAGCTCTTACCGAAAACACGTACAATGCGATACACCTTATACATATAATAAAAGGTTAGTACCTTTCCTCCTCTCACCACCTTTCTGCACTTCTATTATCAGTTGTGCATTCTGTTTCCTGCACCAACTGCACAGACCGTATAGGTAACCGTTCCGTTTCATTCAATGCACGCATCAAAGCGCACAAAATTCCCCAGATTCTCACCACTTCTCACCCAACTATCACAGCTCGGAGTCGATGCGTTCGCGGCAAATTCAGAAAAGTTTGTTGCAGAAATAAGATGAAACATAGTCAATGAAATGGCATCAATGCGCACAGCACATTGAATGCGATCCATGCGCTCAACATACCCTTACATGCGCCTTTTCACACCTCTCAAACTTCATTCATTCGCTACTACTACTACTTTTCCACTAAATTCAAACTGAAAACAGTTATTATGTAATTTAAATTCAAATATTGTATTGAATTACAATATAATTCAATTCAATTTCAATTTACAAGTTATTAGTAGACTGGGTATCTTTATGCATTTATAGGAAATTCGAATGTGCAAGAACCTACAAAATGCAAACAATATGCAAAAAATATAAAAAAGATTGAAAGTAAAGTTCATGTTATAATATTTGGAGAATAAAATACTTTCCTATATAGGTTCAATTTTTGTAGGCACGTTCGCCAAGATTTTATTTTGCATAAAGATCCGCAGTCTAGTTATTAGTAAAAGTTATTAGTTAAAACACAGCACTATTAGAGATTGTTTCTCGTTCTGTATTCAGGCGAATTATATTTGGCTCCGGATTTTTTGGTACCACCAAATAGTGATTATACCGCGTATCATCAATACGTTAACGACTATTTGCCCGCTGAGAGTCCCGTGCTGTACGGACTTCATCCTAACGCTGAAATTGGTAAAAAAATAATAATTTTAGAGAAACTTCGGCGACTTAAACTTATAATTATACAAATAATTTTCACTGACAATATAAATTCAGAGTGCTTTTATTGAAATCATGTTTCCATTAGGATTTTTAACGTCGACTGCGGAAAATTTGTTTAAAACGTTATTGGAAATCTTGTCGCAAACTGCGAGCGCTGCAGCAGACGGTGAGGTGTCCAGAGAAGACAAAATAAAAGGAATTATAGAAGATTTGTTAGACAAACTACCAGAAGAATTTAATATGCAAGAACTTTACGGCAAGGTCATTGTGTTCTACATACAACATTATATGATTAAGAGAGCTCGAGAATATGACATAAAACAAAACATTGTATTATACGTTCTACTTACTAACGAAACAAAAGAAACTTTTGCGACAACCTAATGTTTGGTCTAGAATGGACATAAACTGTCCATGCGACTTAATATATTGTAGTATTAGTATTTTTGAGATCAATAATTCCATGATTGACGAAATTCATGTAAAAAAGATGATAAACCACTCAAATCTATGCCTAAAAATCGTAGGTCGAAGATCGCACGCCCTTTGTTACGGTCGCATTGCAAGAATGTGAACGAATGAACATTTTGTGCGACGAACTTAAAAGATCCCTTCGTGAACTGGACTTAGGTTTGAAGGTAATCAAAAAGTTGATAAAATAATCAACGTTTAACTATAATAATATATCGCGATAGGGTGAACTAACGATAAATGCTGAAATGGAAGACTTACAAAATTACATAATGATCGATGGCGTCCCTCCGTCCTGGACGAAGAAAGCTTACCCTTCAGATTTAGGATTAAATAGCTGGTTTGCCGATATGTTGAACAGGATAAATGAATTGTCCAACTGGACAGCAGATTTTAACGTAACTAGTCCCTCTACACAATTTTTGTGCTATTTAGCATACAACGAATCGGAAGGATTAACAGATTATAATGATTTTCAGCTACCCTCATCCATATGGTTAGGTGGCTTTTTCAATCCTCAGTCGTTTCTGACTGCGATAATGCAACAAACTGCGCGAAGAAACGAATGGCCATTGGACAAGATGTGTTTAAATTGTGAAGTTACAAGAAAATTTAAAGAAGAAATCACGTAATTATTTAAATTCAATTTTCCCTCTGCCATAAATTTTTCTAATTTCACAACAAAAATAGTTAATCACAGAATGCTTCCTTGAAACTGTGTAACATTCAACAAAACAAATAACAAAGTTACTTATTCTTGTTAAAAAATTACTAATAATACTTTTTTCAACCAAAATTTAACAGAATAGCACCAAGAGAAGGTGCATATATAAACGGATTATACATGGATGGTGCACGATGGGACATGCAAGCAGGATGTATCATGGACTCTCGATTTAAAGAACTGTATCCGCTAATGCCAGTAATGTATATCCGAGCAATAACGCAGGATAAGCAGGACTTACGAAATATGTACGAGTGTCCAGTGTATAAAACACGATCACGAGGTCCCACTTATATATGGACTTTTAACTTGAGGACAAAAGATAAGGCCAGTAAATGGATCCTCGCCGGTGTAGCTGTTTTATTACAAATCTAATGGTATTACATGTATGATCTGTTATAATTATTATTTGAAATAAAAATAAACTTTTCAATTGAAAACAGTTATCCAACAGATATAAAATATTAAATAGTCGTGTTAATTTGTTTTGACATGTATAAATATGTTTTCTTCAATGCTTTCAAGTATTGTTAGGCAAGCATTAAAAGAAATTTAATGAAACAAATTTTTGTGATTATAGAAAAATTATTTATTTGGAAGTTAAGAATAATTATATTATTATAATCAAAGACTATCACTACCTGTGCTTATCTTCTTTTGAACCCATATTTCTTTCTTTCATAAAATAGATCAGTCTTTGAGCTTCCAAGATTAACAATTTTTGGACAACCGTCCCTCTGCAAACAAATAATTAAATACATAATATATACATAATATATAAATACTTAAAAAAAGAAGGATTTCGCATTAAAAGAAGACTTACGTCTTTTTCTTGAATTGTGCATTCTTTACAATAATAGGCATCGGAAACACCAGGTCCACCACAGATAACACATCTACCCTGATAAGACCCGTAATTGCATTCATCGCAAATTCTGACAAGAGTACATGGTCTTACATAGGAATCACATATTACACATTTCCCATCACATTTTTCACACAATCTTCCAATTGCTGAAAGTTAAAATTTCACTTTGTTATATGATATACAAAACAATTAGAACTTATGAATGTTTGATATATTTATAACTTTTAAGATTCTACTTTGAGAAGACAGTTTCATCATACCATTATTTTAATTACAAAATGATTTATACATTTTAAGTGTAACATTCATATATAACCTAACCTAAAACGCAAATTTAAATCTTACCGACTCCCGGTTGTTTTCTGCAGAAAATCAAATCTGGATGATGTTTAGCCATATTGCAGAATAAATATAACACAATAAGGGATACAAGACACGAGTTAATTACACAAGTCTCTATACATGTAAACCACAAATTGATTGCATTTGTATATCAATTTGACGAGACATTACTGTAATTACGACGGTCACCTATAGAGTGAAGAGAGTACGAAGCCTAGCTTTCGGACGCCTTTTGGAGCACAGGAGAGAATGGTCCACGCGGCCGCGGTAGCGAAGGCTACGAGCTAAGCGGCCGCGTCAATGGCCTTTGATGCACGTTGAGTCACTTGTTCGCGTACAAGCGCGGCCGCTTAGCTCGTAGCCTTCGCTACCGCGGCCGCTCCACCGGTATACGCGCGCTCTGATTGGTCAGTGTTTTCCGTTAATATCTCCTCAACGAAGCCTCGGACAACATTTTCGCTAAGGAAAGAGTTGTTTCAAATCACCTCCCGAACCACCCATTTCAAGGTGTTACAACATTTTTGGGACACCCTGTATGTATGGGCGAAGGGTTAGGTACAGTTAGGTATATCAAAGCCGGACTCTCGCAATGTTGGCATTTTTGCCTCAGCACTTCTAGTACTAGAAGGTACTAGAGTAGGCTGTACTGATACTAGAGTAGTCTGTGATAACGTACTCTGCAACTAGAAGAGTGTAGGGGATTTAGAAGGAATGATTGGTATCGCATATTCCTAAATAATTGAGCCGACGGTGCGTCCACCTAGGAGCGTCGGCTACCGACGTCCGCCGCAGCGGCGACAGAGTCAACATCCGGCGACGCAGAGATGCGCACGTTTCGGCGCTCGCCGAGAGAAAAGGGACGCTGCGACCGTGACTTCGGGACATGAGAGCGACGATGAAGCCCGCCAGCCTGCAAATCAGCACTTGAGGAGCACTAATTTCTAGTAGTACGAACAACAGAGGATTCAGGCGGTTTACTTGAGTTTTACCTAGGATCAATCTTCGCTTCTAAAGTTCATCCTGAAATAATCAAGAAGCTATCCTTTCTATCAGCGAGGTAACGCACCTCTTTCTCTCAGTCACGAACGGTTCTATAATCCCCTTTTTAAAATAGAAATGGTTGGATGCATACTATTCGATATTTCGTTAGCTAATTACTAAATCCTTTCGTTCGTTACATCTAATATATTTCCATCGTGTTACATAGAAGTTGATTAATGAGTTGATAAATACTTTACTACTTACTTTTTTTTTTCTGTAAATGTCGCTATATTTTTGTACACTTTGATACTGTACAGGTTGTTTTTATACTTTTGTTTAGAACTGGATTAAGATTTTCGTAGTATTAACTAAATTAGTAGAGCTTCTATTAATTTTGTCTATTTAAAATTGTCCCGAGTTTGTAATTTGAATTTATTCAACTGTTCGAGTCAATGTTCGTTTTGCTGTATTTATTTGGTTATTTTAATTATTCTTTTGTGTAGAATTAAGTTTATCAGATATGTACGAAATAATGTATATTGTTTTATTCGATTTTATGTTGAATTGTTATTGTTATTACTCAATATTATTAACCGAATTCTTGTTGTATTTGTAAACATTTCATAATAAAAAATATAACCTTATTTCCGGTGTAAAATATTTACTTTTGTAAATATAATGATTAGAAGATTTTAATAACATTTTGTAATTGAAACTCTAGGAGACTATTATTCTTAAATACTCCAAAACATGAATCTGTTATGTTTTTATGTGTTAGTCTATTTATTAATACGATATTCTATAATATTAATGTTAAATGTATTCAATATTTAAAAAAAACAATTTATTACTGTTTATTTTTCTGTTTAATTTTAGATCAGGAGATTGTTTGTTTAGTGGTTCCTATTGTGGATACGTTATCACTACTTCTAAGAGTGTTCCTTGTCCCCTTGCCTCGCCCTAAGAGGTTCTCGACGTCCATAGTTTAGGACACGAGGTATGTTGCATTGTTATAATAATTGTTTTTGTTCATTTCTTTCCCAACTTAGAATTTAATTGAAAGTAACAAAACATCTCTGATATCTAATTTGAATTTTCTAACTCACCTTTAATGATATAATTTGGTATGAATTGTTTCAGAGCCATGTCATCGGGCGCAGGTTCAAGTGGAACTGGCCGGGGGCGTGGTTCATCGCTAGCAGACAATAAGCCAGAAAGTAAGGAAGCGAAGCCAAATCCAAAGATGTCAAAAGCTTTAGGAACATCTGCCAAGAGGTAGCACGTCCATCATTCAAAATTAAAGACTCTTCTGTGTAGGCTTGTAATGACTTCGTTAATCTTCTTGTCACAGGATACAGAAAGAATTGGCAGAAATAACGTTAGATCCACCGCCAAATTGCAGGTTTGCACTTTTTTATTAACTTTCACATTAGTATAACATGATTAAGATAGTCTGGTACTTACAAGATTTAATTTTCCAAATTTTCCCACAATTTTTTCAAAGTGATGCTTCTTAGATTCAAATCTTTAAAACAACTCTTTTAAACACGAAGTAATATATTATTTTATTATTTGTTTTATAGTGCTGGACCTAAGGGAGATAATTTATATGAATGGGTGTCAACTATACTTGGACCACCTGGTTCAGTTTATGAAGGAGGAGTATTCTTCTTAGATATACACTTTTCTCCGGAATATCCCTTTAAACCACCAAAGGTACGTTAATAATATAATTAATTATTTTAATTATATAATAAGTCTTTATATTTACAATTTTATGCAATCAGGAATTTCATAATAATGAACTAACAAAACAGTAAAATATGTACTGTGAAAATGAAATTATTATATGAAATTTATAATAAATTATTTCTACTTTAATGTGCTCAGAACTGATTTTATGTAATGCCGTACTAACTGCTATATTTATTGAAAACAGAAAAGCTGAATATTTAATATAATTATTGAATATATATTTTGTAGCAATTGTAACTAACAGTGCACGTCGCAAAATGTTCATAGCGCAAATCATGCAAATTAAAGTACATAAAAGAATCTTATACATCTTATTCTAATTGCTTACTTTTATTGCTTTTCTATTTTATAACACAACATTCTATTCGTTATAGTTCATCTTCATTTCCATTACATTAGATCTTCACTTTCTCGTTAAATAGGGTGTCTAGTAAAAACAATCTAAATTTATGTTTTAGTAGTTGTCTAGTACTGAACAATTTTCAATTAAAATTGAATCTAAAAAGAAATGGTAGAATTAAAAATTATAAACAGAAACAATGAGAAAATGGAAAGTATTGCCCCCTTTAAATGTTTATATTTCATGCTGACCAGCACTTTGATATATTTGAAAATCTATATTAAATTTTAATATGGAGAAATAGTGCTGAAATACAGTATACATTTTTTTTTCTTTTAAAGTTATTCATCCCTAATAATAACTCATTTTGAATGAAAATTCTATCAGCGGTTTTTCAGTTGCTTGCCGCGTTTTTTTCAGGATTCTCATCCTCCATTATGTGATGCGAATGGAAAGTCCATTGTGGGTCCCTGACGATCCACGTGGCACGGAAAAAGCAAGGGGCGTTAAATTACTAGTAAATAATTAATTGTTAACATAACGTTTTTAGGTCACATTCCGAACTCGCATCTATCATTGTAATATAAACAGTCAAGGTGTTATTTGTCTGGACATACTAAAGGACAATTGGTCACCCGCACTTACAATTTCCAAGGTCTTACTGTCCATTTGTTCACTTCTAACAGACTGCAATCCAGGTAAGATACAATCCACATTTATTGTAATTAAAGTTGAGCATTTTCATAAGAACGTTAATTAAATTTGTTGCTCTTTCTTTCTAATGAAAACAACATTTCACGACATATTAGTTTCTTTACGTGTTTCTATATGATTTTCAGTAATTGATAAACGTGACCTATAGAATCATTCCTTAAAATATTTAACAAAGTAAGACAGCTTACAGAATTTATTATTATTTGTTTTAGCGGATCCCCTAGTGGGGAGCATAGCAACACAGTATCTCCAGAATAGAGAAGAACACGATCGTATAGCACGGCTTTGGACTAAACGTTACGCCACATGAACAACTTTTTGAAAAATCCTGCCCTTTTCATTTCTTCGAAACGAAGAACGGCCACTTAAGGGAGCCCATTTAACTATACTGAAATTTTGATTATTCGAATCGATAAATTATTTTTAATAAATTAATTAAACGTTAGTTAAATTCTCTCGGATTAATCGAATGTTTAACTTATCAATAAACGATTAAATACAGAAGTGCACGATTGCTTGATCTTGATCCGAAGAAAGATAAATATATTCGTTTACATTGAACTTTATGAAAGATGAATGAAAACTTTTTACATATATTCGGTTGATCGATTAAGCGATTATGGGCGTTGCTTGGTGAATCATCTTTTATGTAAAAGAGATAAAGGAACAAATTTTCAAGTAAAATCGATAAAGTAAGTTAAAAGTCATTAAAAATGTGCTGTTATTCGATGATACGTACAAATTTTTGTGTATGTTTAATTTGTTACAAATGTTCATTCGAATAATCATGATTCTGGTTCTCCGTACCTTCGAAAAACTTATTGTATGTATATGTATATCGATCGAAGGACTGCTTTAAATGAAAGACTCTTCAAGATCGTCGATTCGATCATTGTGATGTGCTTTTATATCGAGTATGTAAATGTGCCTAAGATGAATGAATGTGCGTACATGTGCAACCAAACTCTCTTTCACTCTCTAACTCTTGAGACAAAAATTCATCGTCCATCGTATATTCTTACGTACATATAGTTAATTAGCGTTATAATCAAAATGATTACTTAAATTTTTTTCATCATACATTTTTTATGATGAATAATTTCTTTTAATTATGAATATATATTCCTTCAATTATTTAAACAAAACATACTAACGTAGAACATTTTCCAAATACAGAAATATTTCACTAGGAAGGTTAAGGAGCGAGAATAATCAATTCGTGTCAAGTAATTATAATAAGACATTTTTGTTTATATTTCTAACAAATATGACTTAAGAGTGAAAGGGTGAAAGTGAGGGACCTCCGTTTTTTTGTCCTCCGTTTTGTTCATTTGCTCGTTTTAAGAACTCGCGATGAGATAGTATTTAAAAGGATACGTCCATCGATAGTATCGAATAATAGGTTAGGCAATATTATGAACAATACGAATAATTCGACTTGTAAGTAATTACGCTGATAGTTATCTTAAGGGGCCCTATTAAATTTTTAGTTTTTCATATTTCTCTATCAAGTTTACATAAAGTAAATAGAACCATTTAATTAAGTAACACTATTTATTCTGACAAAAAAAGCGCATAACGATTTGCGAACAAATTGTTTATATATACCTTGACCCTTTCGATTCAAAGATTAACTTAGTTATATTTATTCAGTAATTACGATAACAAATTCCTTTCTACTGGTCTCTTATGAATTTAGCGTTCAATAATATACGAATGCTCGTAATTAACTAAATGTTGCGCTTATTTAATTTGACAAGATTGGAATTTCGATTATTTGAAATTCCATTTCTAAATTATGTGGTACTTGGGCCTGTGACATTTAAATCGCTACAACTGTAAATAAACAAAATGTCCTGTATATTAGTGATAAACCATAGATCATGATTTTTATCAGAATTTTATCGATTACATTAACAAACTGATTATAGTAACATTAATGATAATTTCGTCTAATAAGTCTCACAAAGTTATTTTCTTTCGTTAGGAATAAATTAATTGAAAGAACGATTTAACTATGCGAATTGTGAAACTAACAAAATTTTATGCTAGTTAATGATGCAGATAATGTTAGCAGATTGCAGAATAATTCAATAATGGTTCCTTCTGGTAAAAAATAAATTTGCAGAAAAAAATGTTAATCATATAATATAAGCACTGAGAATTTACTATTTTAATTAACGATTTAGGTTTTTATACTCGCGTTGTGTGATAAAGTTTCATCGTTTATTTAAATTTAATCACTGTCAAAATTCCTGTAAATATATTCTGCAACTTTTTCAGAACACGATCTATAGATCTTTTGGACCACTGAAATTGTATATAAATTAAACGTTGAATCTGCTCTTTTTATAATTAAAAAGATTAGTCAAAAAGGGAATTATTTTTATCCAAAAATGTTATATCTGAGAAAATCTAAGAAGACAATTATTTCAATGATATTTGAATGAAAATCGATATTTTAATAATCTCAGAAACCTCAATTTAAATTGATTCGTAAATTCGATGAATTAAAACAAAAGAATGTTCAAGACACATCTTTTAGCTATCTAAGTGTCCGAAGATTGTTTAAAAACATTTAAAATTATGTGTTACGATGTACGAATTACCGTTTAAATTGAATTCTCATTCTACTCTATTCTTTCCTGCGAATTTATTTGTTTTATCAACAAATAGTTGTAGGACAGTACAGGAGAGCATCCCATATAATACTGAATGTTAGCTGCTAATCATAAATAAATATAACAAAATAAAAGAAAAAGTCTGATCATATAGAATTCTCGCCGCCCTTTTTTCTTTACTTTGAAGCGATCGTTTTTTGTTCCAATTTCCTCTAATATATCAACTTTAAAAAATATTTTATACAAATAGGAATAATTTTCTCACAATTTAATTATTTTATGTAATATACATCGAATGGCAAATTTCTTAACTCCTACATGTCGATTTGTAGAGCAAACTTGTAAATAAATTTTGATTTAATGTTATGAAGTCTGTTAATTGGAAAATTATATCAAACCATAAATTCTCACGGAAATAATAATTATGCCGTGGGATAAATTAATGCAATGCTTACTTACTATAGTTTATTAATATAGATAAAAGTTATACGAACAAGACGTGCTAAAGTGATCAGCTCCTAAAGAACGTTAATAATGTATCCATTAATTAATTAAAATACAAGTAGAAAAATATAATAAAAAACTAATAAACGTCATAAAAAACAATCGTTTTTTTTCTCATTTAATATTGATTCCGTATTTTTTTTTTTTAACCTTTCCATCAGTCTTTTCTTTTCAGCCGATTAATTAAGAATAATATACAAAACTTTCTGCTTCTTTACATGAAGCAATAATTACAATTTTTTTTTACAGAATTACATGAATCAATGTCGATCGGATCTTATCATTAAATGAGTGACGTTTGTTTTTGAATATGAAAGTTTTATGATTTAACCATGCGTTTAAAATTTAACATAGTTCAAAATGAAATACATGTATAAATCTATGACTTAAGACTACGAACTAAAACATCGTTAAACAGAGTCAATGTAACAAAAAACGAATCTACAATTTATAAATAATACAATTAAAAATTGATAATCGAATATATGAACCTCGAGAATGTTTCAACAAAATTTGCAATATACAAATCTAAGTGAGAACATATTCAAGTATGTATCAAGTTTCAAATAAACTGGTATTACAATTACTTTAATTAACTCTAATCAATTAATTAACCACTTAGACACATCGCTAAAAATTAGGGACACTTAACGTTTCGGTTATCGTCTACTGAGAAATATATACCTACTAATTGTTTCCTTTTACGATTACTTCTTACTTAAATATTATTGAAACCTCGCTTATTATCTCGCGATAACTATTGAGTCCCCCTGTATCGGTTCCAATTTACATAAATATCGAACACAGACAACTCATAGAGCTTCGTTAAATTATTTAGTTTATTTCGTATATTTTTCTAATAAATATTAAATTGCTCGATGAATTAAGCAAATTTGAAAATTTATAAAATTAAAAATTACATGAATTATTTGCGATAATAATGCTAAATTATTATGTGTAAATAGAACGGAGAATTTATGATATATAATATTTTTATAAAAGATGGGTCAACGCTTAACTACAGTCGTACAAGTATCGATGCTTAACCCATTCAGCTTAAACTGAGCTATATAAATCTGCGAGGCTGTAATCACTGCAATATACCAATTATTAGTTATTAGTTGACTACGGATCTTTATGCAAAATAAAATCTTGGTGAACGTGCCTACAAAAATTGAATCTAAATAGGAATTTATTTTATTCTGCAAATAGTAAAACATGAACTTTACTTTCAATCTTTTTTATATTCTTGCATATTGTAAGTTTGCATTTTGTAAGTTCTTGCACATTCAAATTTCCTATAAATGCATAAAGATCCGCAGGCTAGTTATTAGTATAGTAATATCAATTATTAACGTAGTTCGAAATGCGTCACCACGAGTCTGAGACAACACCTCTCAGTCCTAAACGCAATATCAATGCAGTTTGTTCAGACCAAGTTCAAAATAAATTAAGCTGAATGAGTTAAACATAATTGTAAGGTCCCAGAGACCCCTTTTGAAAAGGGAGCTATAAAATGAACTTGAACAATTTTGGAAATTACTAAACAATAATAAATATATAATTGTAGGAATAGAAAAAATTTCCTTCTACTTTTTTTCTTTATCTTAGAATAAAGATGTATCAAACAAATGTCGAAAGTGAACTTTAACAAATCATTTTTTTCGAAGCAATTAATTATTCACGACAAAATTCTACACCTATTATATAATTATACATTTAAATTTTAGCAAGGAAACGTTCGTGAGCGATCACAGCGCCAAATTGGACGGCGTAAATGCACCGAAGTATACCAATACAATAATATTGTTATAGTTCAGTGTGTTAATGTTGCTTTAACCTTTTGTGCTCGGGTGGCGCCTCTAAGGCGACACATGTAATTTAAAAATGATTTTGTAAACGTACAATTTCAAATTCACTTACATCAGAATACAACTAATTATGAATTGAAATAATACTACATTGAGTCATGAACGTTCGTAGGTGTTTTTCTTCGAAGTAGACTTTTTGGTTTCATAGAAATTTATTATAAAAATGGACTGGATTTGATTCTATAGAATATAGAAAAATGCCTCGAGCGCAAAGGGTTAAGTTTTCATGTAACATAAAATCACGTCACGACTTTTGACATTGTATGTTCAAACTTTGAACTTCAAAGTTTAACCTTTTCTGATTCCAATATATTCGAAAGTTAAACGATGCGTTATTACTTTTTAATCGCAAATATCTATTCCATTATTTTTTATATAAATAATTAATTTCAAAATATTACCAGCCGTCAAAATTATGTACAAAATATAACACAAACTGAGTTTAAGACTGTACTAACTGCAACTCCTCAAAGTTAAATGACTTCTAGAAGAGCGTACGAAATACTTTATTTATTAAAACAATAATCTTTGGTATAATATAACTCATATTTGACGAAAGAAATATTAATGCGGTCCCTGGGGCCGTGCAACTATTGTTAAGGGTTAATTTACAATTACTAAAACTATCTAAAACATTAATCATTGTTTCTATGAACAATTCGAATTATTACAAAGTTAAACAACCACTTATTTACATTTCGATACAAGTGTTTTCTCGTCATCTTTGAAATGAACGTAATCGAGTGATCTAAAAGTATAAAATTAAATTTATAGAGTATGTGTATAATTTTAATTTCATATGTATATTAGTCATATAGCTCTAAAGATGAATCGAAAAGCAAATAAATGGATCTTTAAAACTTCTCGATTAATAATTCGAATTACTTTTACGATGAATAAATGATTTCAATTTTGTTCTTTCTGGCAATCATAGAAATAGAGCAGGATTCGAATTTTGGAAACTTTAAAAGTTATTCTGGTTGGCTTTTTTGTTATTTAATTCTTTCAGACTTTTCTTATCTTAAGCCGAGGTACCTGGAAGTACCCGACCCAATTCTTTTGATTACTCGGTAACTTTCTTGTTACATTAAAATATGCGAGATTTCAAAATAAGGAAAAAGGGGATTGCAATGACAATTATTGTAATTACAATAAAATTCGTGTTAAATCGACGCAATGCCGTGAGTGAGCAATATTATTTCGTGACTTTTTTTTGGAAGCTGTTTTGCGTGAACGATAATAAAAATCTGTCGTCGCGAAATTTCGAATCGTTCGTGTTGACTACTATGCGATCGATTTTCTAAATTCTAAAGTTTGGACAAATTCTTGTATTCTTTTGTTGCACGATTCTACATAGCTTTTAAAAATGAAATCAATTTCTCTTTTGTCAACACTCAATCAATGATACAAATCGTAACTACATAAAAAGTCTAAAAGAGGTAGTCAAAGTTTAAAAGCTTACTTCACACATTTTAAGAACAAACAGATAGAATTATAGATCATTCTTATCCAGTACAAACAACCGAAGATAAAATAAAGAAATGCTTTAGGAATTTTACGACCTTTTTCTTTTTTATCCTTAAAATGAGTAAAATATATACTTCTAAAGTTTGGTCATCTATTTTGGTTACAACTTGTATAAAAGAGTATAATTATAAAAATTGTAATTTGTAAAACTGCTCGAGAATAGATAAATGTATGTCTTTTTTTTCTAACTTAATGACTTATAAACTTTTTGTAGAGAGTTCATTGACAAAGATATAAATTGTTTTTCTACTTTAGATGTTTATATTAACTTTGTAGTTACTGAAGCTGGATAACAATATTTCTAATACTTACGAACTGCAATTCAGTATAAAAAAAATGGATGATTTTTAACTTAAATTTGTATTGTACAGTTCACTTTATGTCATTTTAGCTTATATAAAATGATAGTATATGTAAGTTTAGAGAACAAAAGAATAGTTCATACCAATTGAAGTCGATAAATAAAATTAAGTATTCACATATTTATTTGATTATTATTAATGTTTACGATAACAAAATACTATTAATAGAAAATAAGGTATTACGATACACCTTCAATATTTTGTCTTCAAATTCAGGAATTCACAAATTGAAGAATATAAAAAGTAAATATTTATCCAGCTCCGCTATACACGCTAAAAATGCATTTTACAAAATAAAACTACAACATACTAAATGAATTAAACATGTTGCACAGAGTGAATATTTAAAAGATGATTTTCATTTTAATATATTGAGGCACTGAAAGAGTCTTTCAGACTGTAACACACATCAAGCCAAATATATAGTGATCATCCTATCTCCGTTCAAAACATTCGTATGTCGCAAACTTTAATTTCATACACGGCGCAGTCTAAGAAGGAGCAGTTTGGTTTTTACCATTTGGCAGATAGTGGCAGTAAGTGAATTATAATTCTCCAATGGTCTGCTTTCTTCTTAAGATAAACTGCAGATGAACATTGGTTTAGTCTGCAGTCAGGTTCTAAGTAAATGGTCTTGCGACGACTTTAGAATTATTCTTTTAATGAATGCACGACGAACAACACTTAGAGTTATAATGCCTCCTAATGGATGTCAGATCAGTGTGCTGCGGTTTCGCTGGAAGTAGAATATAATTAAATTGTTCATGACAATATATAATTTCGGTTAGAATACATTCAGTGCCATGTGTGGCAAAGCAAGAATGTGCAGTTTACGCTTTCCAAAATAAGGAACTTAATTTAGGATATTGAATATTACATTATTAATTATACAATAAAATGCTAGATAGAGTAAGATTGTACTTAAATTTGAGATTCATTTCAAGATGTTAATATTCAGTGGCATTATAACTTAATTCTGTCACAAACAGAAAACCTCTATATTATTGACTGCCATAATGGACTGCTTTAATAGAGTTGTTTTTTTAAGTTGGAGATTAGATTCCCTCATATCTCTGTATCTTGAGCCACAACAAAGGGGTTTAAGAGAAACAGCTTCAGGACCTTGGTCAGCTGAAGCTGTAGCCTTTCCTGAACTGTTCCAGAGAAAGCAAACAAACGAATCAAAAATGCACACTACTGCTATCACCTTATATGGTAGCTCATAGACTCCTTGTCTACTTCATTACACTCTAACTGTCAACTTGAGTACTGAATCCAATAGCTTGGAAGGTATCCTTCGCTTATATTAGGTATCACACACTGTCGAGTCATACAGACCCAATGTAAAATTTTCATATGTAAAGATCATTGGCATCAAAAGTATGTGAATTTATTGGCACTATTTATTGTTATCAATGATACAGTTTATTTAATCCATCATTTGATCCATTAATCTCAATGTATTTCTTTATAAATAATAAATTTGTAATCAGTGAAACCTATTATTTAATTAAACTTTGAACCAAATAAAAATATCCATTCCATCAATTTAATATTCAACGTCCAAATTGTGGAAAGCGTAGATATAAAAATCAAGTTTTTAAAAAATTGTACACCGTTAATGTTTAACTGAACACATTTGTTTACTAAATGCATCGATTTTGCCTCAGTGCAGACACAGTTCCATTTTGTATACAGAACTGATTTCAAAGTTTTCCAAATATACAATCGTGCAATCATATTACCTTAATATTAAATTTATTAATAATAATGTATGGCGTCAACACTACGTAAACTTCGTATGAACAACAGAACGCTCTCTCAATTCTTACATAAATAGTGATTTTTTCGGATCATATCTATGGAACACATGTACCTTTTTTAAGTGAAGTGCAATAACTGAATGACAGTCTTACTGGTATAAGCATAAAAATTGTTAGAAACAAAAGAAATTGAGCAAGATATTATGAATCGTTCGTATTAGAAATTAGTCGTAAGATAATGTAAACAGTAGTAAAAATGTATTACAAATTTTACTTATTATAAGTACTTTTAATCTATTTGATTATTACCCATAATGCTTTTTTAATATATAACCTTCTTTTTTAATAAACATTTTGTTGATTTCGCTATTGTTATTTTTATTTGATACTTAAAAAAAAATTATACATAATTTATCAAACAATAGGTAGACAAAATTACCATACAAAGTTCGAAAAGTCATAGCGCTAGAATATTTTTAATAAGGCTGTGAAATAAGCTGATATCTAATATAAGAACTTTAATTATTTTCATATTGAAAGCTTAACAGTTTCAACAATTACAATAATTTCTGTTTAATGTTAAATAAAAAATGAAGTAACATACTGAGATATCCAAGACGATGATCTGCAAATCAAAGCTATGAAGAAACGTGATTGTAACAAAACGAATGCTAATATTTATGTATATAAAATTGATATCTTAACATATATATTACTTTCACTTTATAGTTCTTGAATCTTCATATGTAGTTTCGTAACAAAGTAAAATTATTCTTGTTCCATTAACATACAATAAAAGTGATCAGTCTTAAAAAAAACAGTCAGAAAGACATGATACTGCACAAAAATACTTGCTTCATTTTATAACAAAACTTTTAGCATCAAAACAAAAGTTTCTGAATAAAATTTTAAACGTTAGTTATAATACAAATACCACCGAAATTACTGCTGCTACTAATAATAAGAATGGCAGTAGCAGCAGCAGTAATAATAATAGAAGTGAGAGTGATTATTTCTACATGCATAATAGAATATAAAACATAATATTTATTAACAATGACAGCTTTGATAATTTTAGGTAGAAGTAAATTCCTTTATACAGGGTGTTTACAAAAATGTAAGATATTTCTTTTAAGACGAATTCTACATGTCGAATAAGGAAAATAATCATTTATCATTCTGCAATCTGAGGATTCATTTTCTATATGTAAGCATTTTAGCCATGAATTCCAGGTAATTTTTACTGATTTCAGCATCGCAGAACTACAATTTAAAAGTCACAAGAGTGAAAAAAATGTAGTTTAATTGTCAAATTGCAAATTGGTAGAAGTGTTCCTAATTTTTATGGCTGGAACAGTTCTTAAAAGAAGTCTCACACTTTTATGAGCACCTTGTATAGAAGTAGATGATTCTGTCTTCCATTTTTTGTGCAACATGGTAAAAATGATATACAATGTGCAGTTTGTGCAATATTCTGTTACTGAAAGAGAAAAACTGGAACAATTGTCACATAAATGTGTGATATCGAAAGAAATAGAGCACATTTCGGAGCCTGAGTGCAATTTTTAAGCAATAGAACTGTAGATAACTGTCTGCTTACACAGTCTCGTACTCGCGACGAATTGAACGTGCCAAACAGCATGCGAAGATTACTCCGATTAACTGAAATAAAAAAAATCCGTTATATTTTTTAAAGGTATCAGGGATAATTCATTATATTTAACATTCAAAATATTTAAACATATTTTTTAGCGTGTTACATGGATCTATAAATATTCGTATTAACTAAATAAACATTTCCTATTTAATTATTACGCCTAATACATTTTTACATAAATAAGGAAGTAGGCACAATACAAATAATGAACTACGTTTTATTCATGAGCACAAATAACTATGAGTCATGTTTAATGGATGATACGTGCGTAATTATTGTGCTGAAGTACATGGACAAAAATATTTTTCTAGCCGCTTGAATCGAAAAAAAAAACCACTAGGTACATAAAAATGTTAGTTTTTGGGAACAATTCTGTAAGAGTTTCACTTCGTTATTTCATTTTTTCATATATTTATAAGTGTAATTAGTGAACAAAAATTCCAAAATTAATTTAGCATAATTGAGTTGTATTCAGAAATGATAAGATTAAGGAGGCGTAATACTGTGAAAATGAGCTTCGAAGCTTCAAAGTCTGATTTCATTTAGTTATAGTTTATCAATAATATCGATGTAATATTAAATTAAATTGGAAATAAATATAAAATAAATAAGTAATAATTACCTGAATAATAGCAATCCCAATGCCCACACCACCCAAAATCAATGCATTATGCTCAATAGCTTGTTGAAGATTATGCATACACCCATTTTCATATATGTAAATTGAATTCAGGTCACATTCAGATCCTTTTGGTACTTCTCTACAGCAAGAATTTGGTACGATGTTGTCCACGAAACCAAAGCGACTCCAGTCATTTGAGCTAATCATTCCACAACATTGTAGCTGAAATTAAATAATTATTTTTTATTATATACTTGCTATATATTATCACATGCGAGACCTACTCTAGCAAAATATACAGCTAAAGTGGGTATCAAACCATTTCCATCTTTTTATACAATTATGAAATTAATCTAGTAATTTTTTAAGTACTGACTTTTCTTAGGCTGCAAGGTCAATATTTCAATGCAATTTGTGTTTGTTTAATACATTCGCGCCGGCGCTGGTATTTATTTTTCTCGCCATGGGGCGGCGCGGTGGTTCACGGCATTTGATAAACACGCAAGCCACAGGCTCTACACGCCGCTCGATGAGAGAGGCAAGCGCGAGCCACCAGTGGTACACGCTGGCGCGAACGTGTTAAATTGATTTAAAAAAATTTAGTGTATTATTGTGACTTGGTTGAGCATGTGAGAACTTAATGGATAGCCTTGTATTTGCATATATTTAACATATAAGAACATAAACTTTACATTATGCATACTTACGTCATGTTGCATGATATCCCAAGATCTATGAATGTCATCATTGGTCATGTAGCTCTCCATTGTAGTATTCATTCGACTTTCTACCATATCCTGAACTTTTCCGCGCATCATATATCCAGAAATACCAGCACCAAGTTCCAGTGCGAATATTAGAAGGAGCAATACCGAGAACTATATGGAAAATAAAGTTGGATTGTATTTAATAATTAAATTATATTTAATCAATTTTAGTTTCAGAACTGTGTAAAGACTGATATATATTTAATGTAAAAAATATATAGTAGTGTAATCTCTACCGTGATTATCATGCAATGGTTCTCCTTGACAGCTCCACAACAGCCAAAGAATGATACAATGAACACAACAGCACCAACTACAATCATTAATACAGGTGCCACAAAGAACCAACTGTCCATAAAATTATTATATCCACTGTAAACTACAAGAATCACAGTGCCAACTGCAATAAACACGATCCCAGTTATCTGTAATCAATGAAATTTGATAGTTATGTTTAGAAACAATATTTACAAATATGAGCATTATTAGTAAATTACATTCATTTTTCTGCTATGTTGTTATTAGTAAATTAGGAATTGTGTAAAGAAAGTAAATTTATGTCTGTGATGATATTTTCATGTACAAAAGTAATGGTAAATGTATATTTTACCATTTTCTTTTATTATGTACATTTGCTTAAGTGAAGAGTTTTATTTAAAAAGGTGCGAAGTTGTATAACTTGACTATAACACCTAATGTACTAGTCCAACAATTGTTTGTTGTTTACATTCATTTAATTCTTACTTTACATTATGTACTTTGCATTTGCATTTGCTTAAATACTTCTCTTTATTATTCTTTGGCATCCCCATTAGAGGGTGTCAGTAGTTTGTTGGAGCTCACTGGCCACCTTTATAGCTCAGGAACCTTGGAATTGCTAAACCTGTACTGTAGCTACAATTAAACATAGCTACAGTCCCTGAGGGCTATAGTTGCTTAACATTCATTACTTTTGGTATACTCAAAGACTTTAATCTACATTTTCTAGAAAGAATTAAGCACATACTTTTATTTTATCTTAATTTAATACTGATATGATGAAATTTTAAATGTGCCAATATTCTTGTTCGTTACTGTATGTGCAGATAACTTGATTAAATTATCAGTTATAATATGATAGCAAAGTTTGTGCTTTTCATTGATAAAAGATTTGTCTTGTAACACCTATTCATTATTATTCTATCTATAATAAATTTATAAAAATTCCCTTAACAATGTGAAATCAGCTTACTTAAACATTTTATATTTAAGAAACGAAATACAATTATGTACAGACACATAACAAAGAGAAGCATTCACAGAATTCTCAAATATGTACATATAAGAAACACTATTTATAATATTAAATATATTTTTAAAGGCAGATAGGTACATGTAATTCACAAAGCATGTACATAAATAAGAATAATGCACAAGACTCTTCTAAACACGAATAATTTATAACTTAACCTATGGAATATGGATATGCAACCTATCTACAAATGCAGAGAGTAATTGCTTAATGGTTTCATTTCATCGATGGACTCGCAAAAGAAATAATAAAATTAAATTTTTACAATTAAACTGAAACCTATTGAAAGATGCTAATCATTAATAGTCGGTGCAGATTCTTTAGGTTGATTATGTTTTCAAGCTGATAAGTATGATTAGATTTATTCACAGTAAGAACATGACTAATAAAATGTAGAAGCTTGTACATGTAATATTTAATAAAAAGTTATTACTGAAAAAGGTTTATAATTACGTAAAACGAATTGAATAACAAGAATTAATATATGCTCTTGTGATATTTTTATAAAAACTCATTTGATTGAATGCATATTTTAGAATGTGTGCAACATTTTAAATATTACGTTTATATTCAACGACATAGTAAGACCTAAAATGTAATTGTTACAATGTAAAAGTGTAGAAATCGAGATCTTATCCATTTGAATCGATGATCAAAGTATCTCTCCTTACTACAAAGTAATTCTTATTTTTATTTATAGTCAATTTTATTTAGACTAAATCGTTTCATATAAAAAATATATTAATTTGAATATTTCATTGGAAATTTGGACTCGATAATATTTCTTAAAAAACAAGTTCTCACACTTGTTTCGAATAGTGAATGACGAAAACTGTAAACACTTCGATTTGTGATTATTTTCACACATTCGAATAAAATAATCGATAGCGGCATCGCTATAATTCAACGTAGTTTACTCGATGTACATTCAATTTGATCTTCTCGTTTTTCGTCGAGATGATAAATAAACGAATCTTTTCAAAAAATACCAAATAGATGATGGAAAACAAAACTAAGAATTACGGAAACACGAATACAATATGGTGACTCACTGCAAATATTAAGTTGAAGAGAAACGTCAGGTACTTGATACAAGCCATGCCGCCGGACACCATTGTTACAATCACTGTTCACTACTTTCGAGACAAACGGATACAAAAGTTACGAATTAACGCAAGAAATAGAACCAAGTGCTATGTGCGTTGTTCCGATAATTCCGTTACAATTATGCACCACAATACATGCACGCGCTTCGAAACTTCGCTGGAGAATACCCGTATTTTCGTCTATCCAACCAGCCTGGCTTGAATGCGCGCGCACCTTTCCCCTAATTTACTCAGAACTGGCTACGTTCATCGCAGAACCCTGGGTTCTAAATTTATTTAGAGTTACGCACACATCACCAACATTAATTGTTAAATATATACTTCTAATTAGGAAGGAACATAAAATCTTCGTATACGCTAAAGGAACTATTAAAAAAATACTGAAAGTATGGATTAAACGCAATAATTAAAAATTGCGCGTTTCACATAGAACTGCGTAGGAGAATAAAATCAATTTTATACTCGTAAGCAAGTATAAATAAAAACAAAATTTATGTTGTCGTTAATCTTGCTTGCAATGGAAGTATAACTAATTCCATTTTGATAACGAATTACTATTGGGTTATCTTTAAGTTACTTTTAAGTAACCAAAATCATGCACAACCAGCTAGACTGTAATTTCTTTGCTGGAAATAAATAATAAATAATTATATAATTGTATGCTTCTGCAACTAAACATATTCGTCACTGTACTCGTTCGTTAGAATAGTTATTTAATGTATTATACATACTATCTTGTAATTGAAGACTCGTAATAAATATGTATTTACACATGATATGTTAATTACATTCAATTTGAATTATTTTAATTCAATGAAATGTATTTATTCGCGATAGACGTTCAACAATACAATATGTATAATATATACGTACATATCTAACAAATAAAATTAAACTAATATAGACCCAATTGGGACCCAATACTTTAAAGTATTAAACTGTATTTAATATATGTTTATTTTAACAAGTTAATTAAATAAATGTAACTGTGTATATGACTAAGTTTTTAGTAAAAATGGTACAGGTAAAATGTGACACTTTTTACAATCAAAATTATTTATATTCATATTTTAAAGTATACGTTTCATACAATTTTTTTCAGACTATCCTCATTTGTAATTATGCAATTGGATTATTGCATCGAACCAACAGGTGTTTGGAAGAATTTTTGGTCAGTTATATAACTATTAACTATTTGCTACATACAAATTACGTTTTCGATTTTATCCCTCACTATGAGGCTGTTATGTAATATGTTTAGTTAAAATTTCTTCACTTAAATATTTCTGTTAGCGTTTTCTTTTTTCAATTTATGCCATGCTTAATCTGTTTCTTTATATAATTTAACATGTTTGTATGTTTTGCGTGCAAAAATATTATGCTTGTATTTTCATCCATATTGATGAAAATATATCATTACACTTTAAAGTGGTTTACTTTAATAATATGCATTCATCTTTTTTGTATTAATAATAAACGAATTAATACGAATTATACGGTCTAATAAATAATTTCTTCAATATATTTAAAAAAAAAACTATAGTTGCTTAATTGTTTGTTTCCTATTGTTATACAGTATTTTGTTACATTATAAAGGGAAAGAATACAACATAAGATTCAAATGAAACAATAAGACGGCCCTGAGTATATACAATGCACGTTCGTTGACGATTCTGCGCCTCCAGTTGAACAGCGACGAGTGCAATTTTACGATCGATCTCTTCATATTTGTCATGCAATCCATAAACCATCGGTGTGAATTGCAATCTATGCTATATTCCCACAAATTTCAAACCTTTACGATCTATACATAGAAGGAAACTCTGTAAGAGTATGTATTTTTGCAAACTTGCTTTTCCACGAATTGCTAATTTTCTTGAGTTTGTTAAATGATATCAAAGATCGAAAGCTTCGTTCGCAATTTTTGTTTACTCGCCCGTCTGAATGTTTCATCCATCAGAACTCGAAATTCGATTGATTTCGAACTTGTTCATACAAGAAATGTAATTATAAGAAAATGTATTTATTATATTTTGTTATAGGATACACTTAACTGTAACGAATTTTGGCGTGGGCCAAGCCTAATATAAAATGAACATTTGAGTTGGAAAATATGGTAAAATAATATTCAATAGAACATTTACTGTAGAATGGTTTCCCAGAAGGAAATGAATATTTCTCCAAGTAATTTTGATTTCATGATGTCGTTTATACATTACTGTATCTTTGTATTTTTTATAATAATGTTATAAAAATGTGTTTAGTTAAAATTCAATGTAATTTTGGAATAAAATACGGTAATAAACAATCAGTGCACATATTCCTTCTCTATTAAAAAATGGCTATTATTGTTACATAGGTCTGACTTTTGAATAATAAAGTATGCTAAAATATTATAAAATTGCTATGCTTTAATTCTGAATTGAAACAGAGAAAACAGCGAGAGAAAACACTTAGTAATTACAGTATGATATTTCATATTCATAGTTAGGTTTGTCCTTACAATCCCTTAATATTGATTCTTTGCATTTAATAGATACACGGTACGTCATTCGTTCCAGTTCGATATGACGCTAGTTTTACATTTATTGTGCATGTTCTTACATACGCCTAACCCAGACCTAATCCAAGCCTACTTTGGTTCGATACAACGCTAGTATTACAATTATTATTGGCAGGGAATTATTTTGGTTTATCGTGTATGGAAACTATATTCATTGATACGAAAATTCTTATTTTTCTCATATTTCGAATATAAAAAAAAGAGGCTATCACATATCTCATACTATCTATTTATGAATAAAAACTTACAGATCCTCAATCAAAGATTGAATGACAGCGGTTGATAAAGTAATTTTTGGAGAAAAAATATAACCGACTTTGAAAAATATTAAAACTGCACTGAAAAGTATGAAATAATTTCTATTTCCTTTATATTGAATTGTATTTAAATTACCAAACTTGGTTTAACTTTCTGTCTGAGGAACAAAAAATATGGCTATCATTATATCTACTTTAGAGATCGTATACATTAACACTATTCAATATTACCGGACCCCACCAAATACTATCACAAATCTACTCAGACAGTAATTCCATGGACAGAGTATGCAGGGTGTCCCAGAACTCCTGTAAGAACCGACAACCGGTAGTTGACACGATTCTGAACAACAATTTCCTTTGCAAAAATATCGATAGTTGACACGATTCTGAACAACAATTTCCTTTGCAAAAATGTCGGTGGGGGCTTCATTTTTGAATTATTAACGAAAAACACCGACCAATCACAGCGTTCGATTAGCACGCGCTCAGCTGGCTACGCCGTGACCTGGCGTAACCAGCCAATCCTGGCTCTAGCTTATACTCTTGCGGCTGAGCGCGCGCTAATCCGGCGCTGTGATTGGTCGGTGGATTGTCGTTAATAATTCAAAAATGAAGCCCCCACCGACATTTTTGCAAAAGAAATTGTTGTTCAAAGTCGTGTCAGCTACCTCCATTTCCGGTTCTTACAGGAGTTCTGGAACACTCTGTATACAGGGTAAGTCACCTAACGTTACCACCTCAAATATCTTTGTTGTTTTTAAAGATGTTTTCAAAAACATTTTTGTTTTTATGTCATTATTTTTGAAGATATCAAGGTCACCTTCATTTTTTGTCAAAATAAAACCACTCTTTTTCAAACACCTACAATGATAGTTTACTTTCATTGCGAATTCAACGACCATAATTAGTCAAGGTCATTTAAGGTCACGGAGTCAAGCCGAATAGCATACCTCCTTCGAAATAAACAACTCCGTTGGGATCGACGAGTTGCTTATTTCGAGACAATACTGTAAATCGCAGTTTAATTGAATAGAGGATGTTTGAAAACCTTAGTATGTTTACTACAAGCCTCACTTGTGATAAACGCATTCGGCTTTCATTTTGTAAATCTTATACGTTTTCTCTGTCCGTGACCTTGAATGATCTTGACTAATAATGGTCGTTGAATTCGCTATGAAAGGGACTATCATTGTAGGTGTTTAAAAAAAATGAAGGTGACCTTGATATCTTCAAACATAATGACATAAAACAAAAATGACATAAAAAAAATCGTGTGAGCACCATTGAAACATTAAACTTTGACCTTATGATATTTGATGTATCTTTAAAAACAACAAAGATATTTGAGCTTGGTAACGTTAGGTTACCATATGCACCCTGTATGTAGTTTAAGATTGTAATTATAATTATAGTTAAGATTTATAGCTGTTCATTTTATTGCAAATAAATAATAAAAATAAAAAATAATACGTAAAAAATAATATGTAACTAGTGTAATGTTAACTAAAATCCTATGTATATGCAGGGGGTTTCGTAACTAGTGTGAGAACGCGAAATCGGGAATATCTGAGACGATTATGAACAACAATTTTCTGATAAATATGTCGGTTGTATTTCGTTAATAATTTACAAACCAAGCCCGATTCGACATCTTTGCGAATTAAATTGTCGTTTATAATCGTCTCAGCTACCCCTCATTTCCGCATTTTAAGCTAGTTACAGGATACTCTATATATAAATATTCCTTTCCTAAAAATTAATATAACGTCATGAAAAGTTTTGTGAACGTTCTCGCAACGTACAGAGAACGTTACTTTCGGATATTTATAAAACATCCTGGAAATATCTACAGCAAACGTTCCATGGACGTTCTAAGTCCTAACTAATACCTTCGAAAGACGTTTAAAGAACCTAAACGGGACGTTCAGGGGACGTATGGACGTTATCAGGATGCCCATCGGATGTGCGAAACTTCCAGCACGGACGTTCTACGGATCTACACAAGATGTCCCTGTGCTATCTGGGTATAATTTTCATTATGGTAATCATGGAATTGAATTAATCGATAAGAGTGAAAATAATGAAAGTTCAAAACAATAAAACGAGAAAAGTTTTGATAAATTTGAAATTGTTGTCTTCAAAGTCTAGTAACCTTGGCTGACAGTATTACACTCGCGCATGCGCCTCGAACGCAGCTACGCGATATTGTGTAAAAGCAGTGAATCGTTGCGATGTTCTCGGCCGGTCTCTGCGTTTTCTTCTAACTTCAGAAGAACGGAACAAAATCACACCGTACATTCAGTTTTTTTTTCCTTTTCCACGAAGATATTAAATTTTGTTAATTAGTATTTTGTTTGAGTCTAAATAAGAAAAAATGGTTAACTCCCTGAATTTGTCTTTGGGCTCAAAATGTGTCAAGTATGTTATGTTCGTATTCAACCTGCTCTTCGTTGTAAGTAATTTCTGTTTCTTGAGTGATTTTTACTATGCGTATGATTACGCAGACGAGTCAAACAACAATTTCGATATGTGTATTTGACAAAGTTTTGTTTCACACTTACGTTATTGCGTAAGTTTGTTACTTTATATATATTTTTCGATCGAAGGATCATACGAAAAGTGATTCGTTCGACAATTTTTGTTTCTTTTCGTTAGTTAATGCAGGTTCTTCCGAAATAAACGCATATTAATCCACTTTTATCTAAACTTTCTTTATAATTTAACATAAATGATAAATTTCAAATTGTTTTCTTTATATTAAAGTAAGTTTATCAGTCCTGTCAATTACTTAGGTGAGGTTAATACTGTACTAACCTCCATCTAACCTATATTTAAAGTAAAATATTAGTATAAGTTTTTGTACAATTTACTGAAAATAAAAGGATTTAGATGAAACGTGAAGTAAAATTCATAACCGAATGTAAAGTTAATTGTGGACAGATGTTTGTTACAGTAAAATGACACGTTTGTCTCTACAGATCATTCTATGCGTCATACACAATTCGATATATCGATAGCGGTTACATGCATGTAGATGTATCTGCGTCTTATTTTTCCGCTTTAATTCCCAAAAAGATACCTATACATAAGCAAATTGCGGGCCTTAACAAAGAATGTAGACATTGGATTACAAATTCGTTTTAAAATTCCATTTCGTAATTTATACATTTACGTACAAATATGAACAAATTAATCTCGGGGTTTTTTTTTTATTTATTAACGCCTCTATCGCATTGCATTTCATTAAAAGATATGAAACATACGTTGACGTTGTGCAACTGATATACTGTATAAAAAAAGGAAATATGATCTAAAAATAAAAGATAAAAAGAAAGTCATTTGTGCGAATATTTTTTCCAAAGTGACTATTAAATTTGTTGTTCTAAATACGATGAAAAGTTACTATTGACGATAGCAGCTTCGCTTTCAGATTCTATAACAAAGTCTTTAGATCGATACCACGTTTCATGTAGAATATTTGTGAAGTCAATAACAAAAAAATTGTGATAAACGAAGTATTAAAATGACAGAGTGATTATACGGGTATACATGCGTTATAAATAGTTAATTATCATCATTTTAACATAAAAAAAGTAAATCGCTGCGGACAGGATTCGAACCTGTGTGGGTAGAAAACCCAATGGATTTCAAGTCCATCTCCTTAACCGCTCGGACACCGCAGCAGTTGAACAGACCGTTCATTTTTTTGAACACATTGTACAAGTTGATCCAAGATTTACATAAACATTTGTAGATACTGTAACATTACTATGTATTTAAATGTTTTTACAAATTAATATTATAATATTTTGAATTAAAACAATTTATGATATTTAGTTATATGTAACAAATTGTTACTAACAATTATGATATACGAGAAAATTTTTATTCGAATAATAAGTGAACAAAAATCATGCTCGTGACTTTAATTCAAGAGTTAAATTTGATTTTTTTTTTTAAATTATATTACTGTGTTAATAAAAATATATCATATTATTAAAGAAAAATATCGTGGATTTTGAAATCTTTTAAAATACGACCTCCAATGCATATACATATGCATATAAATATATACAATTTGATACTCATTTTGAAATGTTCCTTTTAATTGCAATAATTACTTACATAATTGTAATACAACTTGAAAATACTTTTCTATTTTGTCAGTGATATTGACGTATTTTATAAATATTTCTTTTTTATATACTATCGACTATTATTCCCAATCTTTGTATGTTTAACTTCGATTTCTGGATTTTTATATTTCTTTTCCGGCTCGTCCTAACGTTTGGCTTCGATTTTTCTCCCACCATTCTTCTACCGTTAATTGGATCTAAAGAACCAGTTTAGTATTGTAACTGATTCAATCTAATTTTCGACTGATCCAATTTGCGATGTGGGCGACGTATAGACTGCTTTAAAATACAACCAGAAAATCGATCGTTCTCTACGTGAATCGATACCAATAATTTTGTATAGTTAATAAAATTTTTGAACGAAACGTAGAAGAGGTTTGATGATTTGAATTATGTTTAAAAGAGCTTGTTACATCCTTGAACTTGTATTATGCAGAAAACATTGTTTTTTTTTTTTCAGATAACGGGGATAATTTTGTTATGCATCGGACTGGCAATCCACGGTGTCTACCACAATTACCAACACTTCCTGGACAGTAAATTTTTGTCAGTTCCTTCGCTTCTTGTTGCAATTGGGTCAATCATCTTTTTCATCGCTTTCTTCGGATGTTGCGGAGCACTTCGTGAATCTTATTGGATGATAGTAACGGTAATTCATAATTTAATTACATTGATTCCCATCAGTGTGAATTGTGAATCGTGAAGCAGTACCATTGGATTCTTCAGAAATTTTACAAATCTTAACGAATCGTTAATTTATGAACAGTTCTTTCTCTCTTGTTAAATACTCTATAAAAGCTTTGAAGATTACGTTTTATCTTTGTAATTCCCTTGGAGAATCTCAGCTATTATTATTAGGAATAATTATTAATAATATATTGTTTATTGAAGTTCCTAATGAAGACATTAAGAAATGTCATGCAATTATATTTGCAGTTAAATATATAGTTTTAGTTCATTGTTATAGTATATAGTTGAAAGTTCATTGACGAATATAATTTTTATTAGATTCAATGCAAACTATAGAATTTATTTAAATTAACGGAGTATTTAATAGAACTACCCTTTTCAAGGTGTTACAACATTTTTGGGACACCCTGTATATATAAATTTTTATAATTTTTATTGTAATTTTTAATTATAATTTTTATATTGTTATTATTAATTTTTATAATTGAATTTTGTTCATTAAAAACATTAATATTTCCCTTTACGACAAAATTAAAACCCAGAATTCCTTTTTTTACACGGTTGAGTGTTATTTATGAAATTGTTATATTAAAACTGTTAAAAGTTTCAAAGAAACAGATTTATATAATACATATACATTATATATATTTATGGCTAAAAAAGATGAGTTTCGATGTTTCTATAATACGATAAATTTTATTTGTTTTTGTTCGTAGTTCACTTCTTTGTTGGTGATCGTTTTTATCATGGAACTCTCAGGTGGTATTTCTGGATACGTTTTGAGAGACAGAGCATCGACTATTATACAAGAAAAAATGGACAACACGATGAAGATGTACAGTAACAACACGGAAATAGCCACTATTTGGGATGGACTTCAACGCGATGTAAAATTGATTGCATTTTCTTTATGGAAATTTTGTTCTCATGATTTCATTGATTAATCGGGTTGAGACTCGGTTAGAATCGGAACCTCTCAACTCGATGGACACAAAACAATAAATCGATCAGATCTCATCAATCGCAACTAGACTGTGAATGTGTACCATAGCAACTTTTTGTTAAACAGTTTTTTCATATGACTATAAACAACAGAGATATTTAGATGTTCTCATTTAAATGACGAACTCTGTACGATACATAAATGGATCAGTTACACATATATGTTTCATTGATATGTTAATATTATATTTTATTGATACACCAATGTTATATGTGTATTACCTTGCAACTATGTAAAATATAATTGTCAATTATTTCAGTTTCATTGTTGTGGAACAACGAACGCGAGCGACTGGCAAATTATGCTGCATACGCAGGCCATTCCTGTTTCGTGCTGTGACGTCCAAGTGGGCGCTATGGAAACAGCAAATTGTACTACTTCTTCGCCGACTCTACATCACGATGGTTGTTACACCAAGTTCGTCTCCTTCATTAAATCTCACGCCGTTCAACTTGGGGGTGTTGGCATTGGCATTGCCATTGTTCAGGTAATTAGCATCTGTGTTTGAACAATACTTTTATGATTTTATATAGAATGTGTTAAAACAAAAATTTACACAACTTTTATCATTTTGTACCGTATCAAACAATGAACAGAAATTTGTTACCTCATAGGAAGTTAATCGTGTTGATTGTTACAATAATTAATTTTCTTTTGCTTTCAGGTGATTGGAATCTGGTTTTCAATTTACCTAGCACGGTCGATTAGGAACAGTTACGAAAGCGTGTAAAGATTTTGAAGGAGTTTAAAGAATGATTACTCGTAGATCGAACATCTGTAATCGGACGATAATTACGAGTTAAAAATATAACTACATTATTTTACTAAGAAACGTGTGTTACGAATGAAATATTTTATATTTTAAAGACCAATGTACCTTGGAATTTCGAATCCATCGGGCATGATACATATATGCCTGCGTTACTGTATATTAGCAACAGATAATGCTAATGTCCTACAGCATACGCTAAACATTCTGTAATTAAAACGATCTCAATGGAATAAAGAATACGATCCTCTTCCTATTTTAATTCGTTTATGTACGAGAAACTTATAATATTATAATGTACATATAACTCCTAACATGTTTACAAATCTACAAATAAATTATTATTCCATTTAGAATCTATTTATAAATGCACACAAATTTATAAACGATTTGTGGATCTAGACATATGTTTATAAAGGCCTAGCAATCTTATAAAATAAAAAACTATTTCTGAAAGAGTTTTACTTTTTATTTAGTATAGGTACGCCACTGCTGCAGAGACTGCTTATAACAATAGGAATGTGTTAGTTACATGTCTGTGAGACAAGATGCGCTCATCAATAAGTTTTTTTGTTATAAGTGCTTTGCTGTAGGCGTCACGAAGGCGGTACTAGTATCGCATCGCGCATAACTTCCAAGGAGAAAAAGGAGGAAAATTCCTATTTAGATGAAAATTTCGTGTAACGAATAAAAGAAACACGAGTTTGTATCCGTTATTTGTTAAAGGACAAATTAAAGGCCGAATTATACAATGGAACAGTGCTGTAACAAGGGCCTGGCGAAAAAGGCACCTGTCTCGGGCGCAACTGAGTTTGCTTATTACTATTTAAATAATTAAACGAGTTAACTGTACAATTATCTAAATTCATAAACAATTTGATATCAGATAAAATAGTTGAACAGAGTACTGAATCAAATGAATTTTGCATTGAACGTTAAAACGATATCGTACACAAATATTTTATCTGAAATAAAGTTTACCATGGTTCCGTAATACTTACCTGCGCATGAATAATGAACATGTGCTCAATTACCCACACGATGATACGCGTGAGTCATGTTCTGTGTCTTACGCATATGTGTAGCAACGGGTCGATGTTCCAGTGCCGACCACATCGGGGCTCCTCATGGTAAACACTAATTTTACATGAAACAAAAATTGTGAGAACAAATATACAAAAGAATTCTTTTCCTGCAAAAAAATCTATAAAGATTTACCTGTGCGTTGTTTTTGTTTTTATGGCGGATCAAGAGCCTTCCTAGATATAAAAACCGATTAAAAATTTTAGTCTTAACAGATTTTTTGTGGATTTTTCCATTTTTGTGGATTAGCATTTGAGGAAATGCTTGAGTAATTTTTATTGAAATTTGTTTATATTCACTAAAGACAATTTATGCTTCAAGATCGTCATTTTTTTTTATATAATAGTTTATGTTTAATTAAATTAAAATAATTTAATTTATATATATGTATTATATAATTATATAATATATTATAAAATTTACAACAATATACAGTTTTATTCAGATTTGAGATATTTATGTATATTATAATTAAATTAAATGATTATATATAATATATATAAATATCTCAAATCTGAATAAAACTGTATATTGTTGTGAATTTTTATTAATATTAAATTGAAATAAATTGTAATAAATGAATATGTTATATTCTTATATGAATATGTATATATTCGTATTAAAAAAAAAGGTGGATGACTTGCGTTATTCAAGCACCTCGAATCGTGAAAGGCAAGAGAACTCACGTCAATCAAGCACCACAGAGCTACCCCTAATTTCCGGTACTTACAGGAGTTCTGGTACACCCCGTATATTCCAATTTTATATTCTTCTTTTTTAATAATATGAATTCGAAATAAATATATGTGTATATTCATTTGTTGCAATTTAATATTAATAAAAATTCAAAACAACCTACAGTTTTATTCATAAAAAAAAAATGATGACCATAAAATATAAATATAGCTTAGAGAATTTATAATAGTAATTATTATTATTATAAAAATTACGTTTTATGTATCCAAATAAATATTATAATAAGGCACTATATAATATAACACAATATATAAACAATCACAAAGGCTACGAATACTTATAGAACTGATTGTATATCGATGCTTTGGCCCTTGAGATTTCAAATCAAAGATTATTTTTATAAAAAGAGTCTCCTCATACTATGTGCGAAAAATAATACTTGCAATTTTGTGTTCTTATTTGCAAGTGATAATTGTTAAGTGAAAACAAAGTCTTGTCTCAAGTTTCCTTATCTCCTATGTACAATGAGATTCAGTAGTTAACCTCTTATTAGTTCATTGTGAAATACTCCATCTTACGAACAATTGTGCATTCTTGATTCGATGTACGAAATTCACTAGATAAAACGTCTGGATATTAATTTTTTATTGATTGAGTTAAGAATGACGAATTAATCTTTGACAAATGTTAAAAACATTTTGGTCAATTTTTTTCTTGCTAGCAAGTTATAAGAAAATGGCAAACAATTGCACTACATTGAAGAACATATAGAAGAAAGAGACGTTCTTAAAGTAAATTTGAAACCCTAATGATTTTAGGTATTTTTCATACTTTCCAAGGAAATACTTCAAAACGATTAGAATATTTATTTGAATATATATATAATATACTCAAAGTTTCAATAAATTATATAAAGTCCTTTCTCACCAAAAAAATTCACACAAATCGCTAAAAAAATGTAGTCCTAAGCATATTTCCTCCCCTTAAGATAGTTGTTCCGTGAATTTATTTAACGAAAGATTTTAACAAAACTTCACTCGATAATTCTTCGACTAAATATAAATCATACGAGCCTATTTCAATTGAAGTCGACCATCCCAGTTTTACGAAGAACGATATCAAAATATTGTAACTTCAATACAACTTCTCATGAAACATACAGATTTACAACGTGGATTTTTTCAATTTAAATCAAAATGCAATTTAGGTACTTGCTGAAAACTTGATATGTCATAAAAACCAATATTATAAATCGTAACAAAAATTATAACAACGATTGACCACGCCGTTACTGAAATATAATAATTCATTCAAATCTGAAAAAGACGTAGAGAACAGGCACCTTTGTTGTCACAATCATTTATCGAGTATCGCGAACGTATACGTAGATATACATATTGTTTTATTATAGACGTGTGTGAGAGTGGTAAGAATGTACTTTTAAGAAAGTTACAAATTATATTTTTGGACGTGACTATCTCGAAACAATTACCTCAAATGTGCCTACATCGAAATCGATATTTTCATTAGCTTCTAGGAAACTTGCTTGTAACACATTAAATGGTACTCCCTGTATATATGTATAAGCAAGTAGCGTTATGTGTACCGTCGGTACGTATACGTCTTTATCAGTAGATAATGCGATATATCGAGTCGAGTTTAGGTGTTTTCAACGTTCAGTCAGTTCTTCCTCGCGGCTCGAAAGAGAGAGGGAGTAGTGTTGTTCTCTAGTGCGGCTGTGTGCAAGGAGATCCTTGACGAAAGTGCACCAAAATGGCTGCCACGCACCTCGACGTTGGCCTACGATGCATCAAATACTTACTCTGCGCCGTAAACTCCCTGTTTGTGGTCTGTACCAACACGCTTTCATCATTTCGCCCGATTACACCTGACTATTCGATTACGTTTTTCACGTTATCGATACCATTTCATGGCCGACCTTGAAAGCAAACGTGCAATTCGATATGCAGCTTACGCGCACGGTAAAACGATGAGATTCCTTGGTGTTTCAACGTAAAAGAATTTTCGTTGGATGAGATCGAACGTACTTGTGATTTACGATTGGTAATAGTAAATATTGACAATAATATACCTGTGTAGCGTCCTTTCAACGAAAGGTTGCGATCACTTGCGTTCTTAATTAATTTACTAACCGCACTCGTATATTGATTTTTCTTTTATCCGTTCTATCTATCCGTTCGTTTTGTGTGACACCTCGGATTACTTGAATAATTCCATCGAGATTACGTCGCCAATAGCATTTATGTCTCCTGCTACCGAGTCGATAATCAAAGCACAACTATTCTCGTTTTGTCCCTTTTAATTCGCACACGACTGTTTATTTTTTTTTTATCTCTCGTTTATGGATTCGAGGAGTACGACTCGTCCTTTAACTGTATTATTATGAATATCATGAATATGATCATCAAAATGGTCATCGTAGGGGACAGAAATTTGGATCGATCATTATATTCGAAAATATATGATTCCATTTAAATAAACGAATTTGGTTTTTGCGTATCACCAACGGAAAAATTGAGGACATCAAATTATGTTCGTCTGGAAATAATGCATATACAAACACAACGTACATATATATATAGAATAGAATAATATATATAGAATAACTTAATAATACACATACATATACATTTCATTAACGTTAATAATACTAATTAAATAAAACAACTGTATGTCTAATATATATACATATTTGACATACAGTTGTTCATACTTTCATATATATAATGGCAACTTTGCAAGCATATAGAATTCTGACAAATAATAAACACTTACTTTCTTATTAATATATATATGAATTATCAGGAACTAAAAACTACCCACAAATCTGTTCATAAAATTTAGTTAAACTTAGTCAACGATAAAAACAAACTTTCAAGTTCTTGAAAATAAATAATATATTGAACTTAGAAGATTTGTAGAATTCATAATGCACAATGATAAGTGGAACTCAAGGGTGCCATTAATATATATACATATAATATATATTATATTTATATTATGTATAAATTTATATTAATGTGTTGTTAACATTAATGAAATGTGTACATTCACATAACATTTACATTAGCATAGTTTAAACATAGAACGTTTGTTAAATGTAACTTACATCGCCTTCAATGGATGCTAATAATTTCAATTAAACGAAACATTTGGAAAAACTCACATATTGTTAACAGAGGAAAATAAACAAGTGCATCTATCGGAAGGGAAATAAACTTGCTTATCTATAAACGAATTATTAATATGAGAAAGGAAAACATTTACGCAACTTATTTTATACGTGTACGTAATAATAAATAAAGACGATTGTTTATGTACACACAAGCAGATTCGTACAACGAGAATCGTAATTTTGAAGTGAATTATTTCTGATCTTAACGAACTCCTTTGTTACGATTAGCCAAAGTGCAATTTAAGATGATAAATTAATGCAACGAAATTATGCAACAAGTATAAATATTAGATAAGAATAAAATGAAAATATAAAATGCTATGAGAAGAATATAAATGAAAAAGGTACAGTTAATATAAGAGAAGAAATTAAACTGTAATAGATTAAGGAAGTAACAAAATAATGCAAGAAAAAAAAAAATCAACAATAGGAACTACCAACCAAGAGCTAAGAATTAAATAAATATTTAGACAATTTCCTATTGGAAGAATTAAGAGATACATGCATAAAGAATTGAAAAGTTATTGATTGAAACACTTTTGCAGAAATGATACTAAAAAAATGAATCGGAATTAGATGCCAAGTCGCCATGTTGTTTAATGTAGAAATAAAATTGTTTCATTTAATTTTCTGTTTACCATAAATTTTGTTACACAGCCACGACGAACTTGTTCTTATACAGGGTGTCCCAAAAGTCGGGGAGGAGCCGGAAATGGGGGGTAGCTGAGACGATTCTGAACAACAATTTCCTTTGCAAAAATGTCGGATGGGGCTTCGTTAAGGAGATATTAAGAGAAAACCCCGACCAATCAGAGCGCGCGTAGACCGTTCGAGCGGCCGCGGTAGCGAAGGCTACGCGCTAGGCGGCAGCGTCAATGTCCTTCGATGCACGTCGAGTCACTTGTTCGCGTACAAGCGCGGCCGCCAGCGCGTAAGCCTTCGCTACCGCGGCCGCTCGAACGGTCTACGCGCGCTCTGATTGGTCGGGGTTTTCGCTTAATATCTCCTTAACGAAGCCCCATCCGACATTTTTGCAAAGGAAATTGTTGTTCAGTATCGTCTCAGCTACCCCCCATTTCCGGCTCCTCCCCGACTTTTGGGACACCCTGTATATTCACATTAACATAGTTCTAACAAACCATTGTTAATATTTCCAAACCGGAAGTGGAGAAGGGGATCCTCGAAAAGGAATTACTCGAAGCCAAAACCATTCGAATGAAACCCAACCTGTCTACTTTCTATTATGTAAATTCTGGTTGAAGATCAGAATTTTTCCTTTAATAAATACAACTCCTGGTTTAAATTAAAAACAACAAAGTCACGGTGGTGTCAAAAGAGTTACACAATTGGCAGAATGACTTAGATGGATTTATTATACATGGTGACATTGTTATTAGGAACAGAACAAGAATAACAAATATAACCAAAGCCTGGCTAAATCACAAACAAAAAATTTGTTGTGACCAGTTGAAAAGCGTTAAATAATTGGTAGAATTCGTGGTAGATAAATGGTATATACATGATAAATCGTTGTGAGGAGCAAAACGAGAACAATAAATAGAGCCGAGGCCATCATAAACTAAATCATAAACGAAAAAATTGTCATGACCAGTTGAAAAGTGTTATATAATTGATATAAAATGACTCATATATCCTTGTTGAAGTGGGCAAAACGAGGACAATAAATGGGGCCATGGTCGACAATAACGGTAACCGCAGCAGCGTCGATTTCTTACCCTGTCCGAAGGAACAGAGTTACAAGAATAGGTGTAACCGTACTCGTCGTTGAGATTCAACAAGTTAGGTCAACTCTCGGTATGGACGTGGATCATAGCTCTACGCTATCGTTCGGACATGTGGCAGGATCGATAACAGTTGGGCGAGGTCAGACCTTGATGAATTATTACCGTGCAGAAGTCTTTGCAACGCCGCAGCCCGTCGATGCCGTGACAATTTTTCACTTTTCCATCATCGGTTTCGTCACTTTCTTCGAGAAAGTTTCTTATCTGGAAAAGTTTGCGATGAAGTAACCAAATAGTTCGAAAGAAGTAACTTTCGACTGGAGAACTATAAAACACAAAACACCCTAGGAAATTCGTGTATTCCTATTTTAGTTCATCGCGAAACGTCTCTTTATATGAACAGTTATTTATTCTTTACCAAACAGACCCATAGTTATCCCCACTACTCCTCGAAATTGTTTCACGAGATAACTTTAATCAAAAAGTCGAAACGTTAACTGGTTTATCGTTTGTGTTCAAGTCAGCAAGTTTAGGGTTTTATTTTCGCGCGTGATAAGCCTTTCTGTCGATAATGAAATTACAATGGTAAACTCGATGATTAAGTGGATTATTCTTTTAGATAAAGCTTTGAAAACGCGAACAAAGAACTTTGAACCAAAGGTGAATTTCCTCGATACGGTGCATTTTATCGCTTAACAATTAGATATATTTAAAAGAAAAAATCATGGATTACTCTTTTGGACATTGTTTCGAGACATTAATGAATAAAAATGTTTATATTAAAAAGAACAAAAGTTTGAGAAGAATGCTCGATAAATTCAAGTAGAGTAACTTCACATCTGTAGGTAAAATTATTGTTGTTTGACTTCTGATGAATTTCTGTGTAAATAAAAATTGTCAGGAAAATCGAATATAAACGAGTCATAGTAGTAAGGCAGAACAATGGTTGGTGCTGATATATTGTAGGTAGCGATACTGACTCAGTCCGCTTGAGATAAGTTCATGAATGATAACAGACATTAAAAAGAAGAATAAAAGTATCGTAGCCGCGGCTACGACTATACGCGTATTGCTCTGAGCGTGTGCCCTAAAATACATGGATAAGTTCATTCGAGTGGATTTTGTTTGAGATTATGGCTTTTTTAAGTTCCAGACCCTCCCCCTCCATTGGCGAACTATGTACCAAAAACTAAACAATATATAATAATTTGTATCACCAATAAAACATTTGCACATTAAATATCGCTTCAAATCTGTCCATAGATAATTTCTACGCCTTTTCTTCTCATATATAATTCTCATTTTCTTGCGATTAGTATCGAAGTAGAAAACTGTTGTCTCGCAGACGTAAATTGTTCGTCTTATCAGGTTAGATAAATTTGCTGATCTCTTTGATAATGATAACAGAATTCTACTATCTTTTACATGGAATAAAAAAAAAGGGACATTCTTAAATGACATGGGTTCAATAACTCCTGCTTAATGGAATTGTAAAATTACTCATTGTATTCAACGAAATTAAGGAAAGAACTAAACTATGACAACCTGTCGAATGTCCTCGCGGATAAATTAAAAAGAAAAGAAAAAAGAATATCTAAATCTGTAAGAGTATTTGTATTAAATGCTGTTGAACATACTTCAAAGATCTATTACTTCTTTCATTTTTCCTACATTATTCGCATTTTAAATATCTCTAAACACAACAAATGTAAATAATTGGTTTATCTACTTTTCACTAACAATCATAAAAAATGTTACCATGCAATTTCGTGGAACACATTGGAAATTTTATCCATTATTCGTACGAAGTTTAAATTTCACAATTTCGTTAATATTAATTTCTAATTCAGTTGACCATATAGTATAAAATATTTCATATAAAATTATACAAAATGTCAACTTTTCCCCTTTGTTATATTATCTGTTGTTTTTTTTTTGCTCATTATTTGAATGTCTAATTAACTTTCAAGTTGATCCGAAAGCATCATAAATGTATTAATATTACAGTTAACAGGGATAATGATAATATCGGTTGGAACAACAATTTATGCAGTTTATGAAGACTTCTCTCATTTCCTTGATCCAAGCTACTTCTCTCCAGCAACTCTCTTAATCGTAGTTGGGATTCTTGTGTTTCTGATAGCTTTCCTAGGATGTTTAGGAGCTATCAAGGAAAGCACTTGCATGGTTCTTGTAGTAAGCATCCTCCAAAAATCGATGTAAAATTATTTCAAACTATTTTTATGTCTTTTATAATGTTACAAAGTATTAAAGTATAAATAATGTATTAATTTAGTTCATAGAACATAAATAAAAAAAATTATTTTTACAGTTTGCAGTATCACTAGTGCTGATTCTTATATTAGAGTTAGCTGCTGCAATTGCAGCTTATGCCCTTCAGGATAATATAAAGGCTCTTCTAAACGACAAAATTAATACTACGATGCATCAATATGGAAAAAATGCTGAAGCAACAGTTGCTATCGATTTCCTACAATCAAGGGTAACATTTTAATTCTTGGGATAAAATGACATTCTTTATCTTTTAATAAAAACTGAGACAAATGTTTTATTAAATATTCAACATGACCACTAAAAGATTTTTAATATATACATATGTTAATAAGAAGAAACGAATGATACCCTTCAGGCATTTACATTAACTTCGAGTTCTTTAATTATCAATAATTCATTAATCACACAATATATTTTATAAAATAAAATACTTTATGTAATTACAGCTTTATTGTTGTGGGTATAACGGTTACGAAGATTGGAAAGCGATTATGGCAGAACTACCAAAATCATGCCAACATTGGGCAGATATTGATGGAAATACTTCATGCACTTTTGATGATAGTATTGGATGTCTTCCATATCCGACTGGATGTAGTAAGCACTTGTCAGTAGTTGTTCACAGAAGTGTACTCTACATTGGCACTGGAGCTGTAGCCATTGCTCTTATTCAGGTTTATATTTATTACATTTACTTTGATTTAACTACCCCATTCAAACAAATTAATTTCACCTATATTTGTAAATGCAATGGAAATTTAAAGAACA